CAATCAGCAGCAGACCCTCCCTCCCAGACACTCCCACCTCCTGGACAGCTCACTAAGAATGCAGCTTCACAATGAATGTAAAATGGATGCTGTCCAGGAGGTGGTAGGGTCTGCTGATTGGCTGGAATGTGTCTGTTGACCGTGAGGTACAGGGTCAAAGTTTACTCAATAATGATGACATAGGGCGACCAACAGCGCATATGTTCGCCGGCCCGTACAACCGCTCGACATCAATAGTTATAACCTGACCGTCTGTTACCACATTACTACCGGCTATACGTTATAACCTGACCATCTGTTACCACATTACTACCGGCTATCCATTATAACCTGACCATCTGTTACCACATTACTACCGGCTATCCATTATAACCTGACCGTCTGTTACCACATTACTACCGGCTATCCATTATAACCTGACCGCCTGTTACCACATTACTACCGGCTATCCATTATAACCTGACCGCCTGTTACCACATTACTACTGGCTATCCGTTATAACCTGACCGCCTGTTACCACATTACTACCGGCTATCCATTATAACCTGACCGCCTGTTACCACATTACTACCGGCTATCCATTATAACCTGACCGCCTGTTACCACAGTACTATCGGCTATCCATTATAACCTGACCATCTGTTACCACATTACTACCGGCTATCCGTTATAACCTGACCGTCTGTTACCACATTACTACCGGCTATCCATTATAACCTGACCGTCTGTTACCACATTACTACCGGCTATCCATTATAACCTGACCGCCTGTTACCACATTACTATCGGCTATCCATTATAACCTGACCGCCTGTTACCACATTACTACCGGCTATCCGTTATAACCTGTCCGCCTGTTACCACATTACTACCGGCTATCCATTATAACCTGACCGCCTGTTACCACATTACTACCGGCTATCCGTTATAACCTGACCGCCTGTTACCACATTACTACCGGCTATCCATTATAACCTGACCGCCTGTTACCACATTACTACCGGCTATCCATTATAACCTGACCGTCTGTTACCAACTTACCACCGGCTATCCATTATAACCTGACCGTCTGTTACCACATTACTACCGGCTATCCATTATAACCTGACCGTCTGTTACCACATTACTACCGGCTATACGTTATAACCTGACCATCTGTTACCACATTACTACCGGCTATCCATTATAACCTGACCATCTGTTACCACATTACTACCGGCTATCCATTATGACCTGACCGTGTGTTACCACATTACTACCGACTATCCATTATAATCTGACCGTCTGTTACCACATTACTGCCGGCTTTCTGTTATAACCTGACCGCCTGTTACCACATTACTACCGGCTATCCGTTATAACCTGACCGCCTGTTACCACATTACTATCGGCTATCCATTATAACCTGACCGTCTGTTACCACATTACTATAGGCTATCCATTATAACCTGACCATCTGTTACCACATTACTATCGGCTATCCTTTATAACCTGACCGTCTGTTACCACATTACTACCGGCTATCCATTATAACCTGACTGTCTGTTACCACATTACTACCGGCTATCCGTTATAACTAGTGATGTCCCGAACGGTTCGCCGAACGGTTCGTCACGGATGGCTAACATATGCGCTGTTCAGTCTGCCCCCTATTCGTCATCATTGAGTAAACTTTGACCATGTACCTCACAGTCAGCAGACACATTCCAGCCAATCAGCAGCAGACCCTCCCTCCCAGACACTCCCACCTCCTGGACAGCTCACTAAGAATGCAGCTTCACAATGAATGTAAAATGGATGCTGTCCAGGAGGTGGGAGGGTCTGCTGCTGGTTTTTCTGGAATGTGTCTGCTGACTGTGAGGTACAGGGTCAAAGTTTACTCAATGATGACATAGGGGGCGGACCAAATAGCGCATATGTTCGCCGTCCGTGGCGAACCGTTCGGGACATCACTAGTTATAACCTGACTGTGTTACCACATTACTACCGGCTTTCTGTTATAACCTGACCGCCTGTTACCACATTACTACCGGCTATCCGTTATAACCTGACCGCCTGTTACCACAGTACTATCGGCTATCCATTATAACCTGACCATCTGTTACCACATTACTACCGGCTATCCATTATAACCTGACCGCCTGTTACCACATTACTACCGGCTATCCATTATAACCTGACCGCCTGTTACCACATTACTACCGGCTATCCATTATAACCTGACCGCCTGTTACCACATTACTACCGGCTATCCGGACATTACTACCGGCTATCCATAACCTGACCGTACCACATTACTACCGGCTATCCGTTATAACCTGACCGTGTTACCACATTACTACCGGCTATCCATTATAACCTGACCGTCTGTTACCACATTACTACCGGCTATCCATTATAACCTGACCGTCTGTTACCACATTACTATCGGCTATCCATTATAACCTGACCATCTGTTACCACATTACTATCGGCTATTCATTATAGCCTGACCATTTGTTACTACATTACTACCAGCTATCCATCATAACCTGACCGTCTGTTAAATTAATCTAAATATGTCTGAGCTCTGTTTGCCGTCCATGTAAAAAAAAAAAAAAAAAATGTTTGGCCACACCAATACAAATACCAGAAACACAAAGTGAGAGCAGTACAAACATTCTACTCGGCAAAAGTTGAACCTATTACAAAAGGAAATGCAAGTCCCTGTTATTTCAAAAGGTATTAGCTAAAAAGAAAAAAAAAAAAAGAAAACCAACTGTTATCTAATCTTCCCCTATGATGGAAGAACCAGGCACCCACTCCAAATGATCAGAGACAAGATATGGAAGATTTAGAAATTCTTATTTGATATATTTAAAATAACAAAGTTACAAGTGCAGAGAATTTTTTGAAAATGGTCAGTCAGGAAGGGGTTAATTCACCAGGGCCATCATCAGGGAGTACAGGCTGTATACCTGTAAGGGGCCTGGGCCCATATTGCAAATGTACACATACATAACAAGGAATGCTCCTCAGCCCTCTGTCTCGCAAATATCGACAGAACCTTGCTGCAGGTCACCATGGCAATGCTCCTATGCTGCACTATGCATGTCCTAGAAAGGGCAGAGTCTTCCGGCATGCCGCCATAGTGGATTTGCCAAGAAAAGTGTCAGCCTGGCACAAACGCAAACCAGGCTGACTGGCAGCCTCTTAGCTGGCCCCTAACCATACAGAGAGCATTGGCACTAATGCCCTAAAGATGTGCTGGAGGAGAACGGGAACAAAAATATAGATGGAGGGACAGGACCCTGAAATCTGGACTGTCCAACCTAAATTGGGACAGTTGGGAAGTCTGCAAAAATAAAATTAATTATAGTAGCATCATTTGCTACATATCCCCAGGCTATGCAGAGAGTTCAGTGGTATTTTACCAAACAGGAAAGGAGTAATACAGTGATTACGCTAACTTAAAGGGACACTGTAGGCACTGTATCTGTTTCAAGTGTCTGGAGTCCCCTGTTGCCATCATTTAATTCAGCATTAAATAGTTTTTTATGCATTTAAGCTTTAATACTAAACAAGAGTCTCCAGCGGCCCATCCCCTCTGTGCTGCTTTGGCTAATGAGGAAATGTTAGCCTGAGCAGCAATTTGCAGCTGTGACTGCTTTTTGCCTATTAGAACTCCCACTGACAGTAAGAATTGGTATGACTACAAGAAGTGTGTAATCTCTGCCTTAGCCAAACCTTCAAAAGGGACTGGACTGTGGACACTTATTTAATGTTAAACTGCTGGTTTAATACTGTATGGAGGGACAGTGCCAGGGGACTCTAGCCACTATAATAAATTTAAAGAGATAAAATTGTTATAGTGCCTACAGTGTCCCTTTAAAGTGACAGTGATTAAAAGTGGTTTTGGTGCATATGCTGTGTCTCACTACTCAAGTGTGTGTATATTTAGTTTTCAAATGTGTTTGGACTATATTCACTAATCCATAATAAGGGTCCATAATTTGCAGAACTTTTGGTAGCATTTTTTGGACAGTTAGGAAACTTTTTGGAAAACAAGTAAATGCATTGCTTTTTCAACTGCATTGTTCAAAAGTATTACAATTATGTGTTTCTTAAGCATTGCTTTTTGGGCACCACAAGAATGTTTGGGAGTTGCAGTTTAAGTATCTAATAGATAAACTGCTACGCACAGAAACCTCAGCCAAATTATCATGTACAATATCATCTCTCGTTCCTAGCCTTAACTGAAACATGGCTCTCTCCCTCTGACACCGCTACCCCTGTCTATCTATCCTTTGGTGGTCTTCAATTTTCCCACCACCAAGACACTCTGAAAGCAAAGGTGGTGGTGTAGGGTTTCTGCTCTCACCTCACTGCTCCTTCAAACCTCTACCCACTCCCCTTCCCTCTCTTTCTCATCATTTTAAATTCATTAAATTCGCCTTTTCAAACCCTTCTCTACTAACATTGCCGTTATCTATCATTCCCCTGTCCTCTTCCTTGACCACTTTGCTGCTTGGCTTCCCTGCTTTCTCTCCTCTAATATTCCATCCCTAATTCTTGGGGACTTAAACATTACCCTTGTCCTCAGTAGCCTCAATACTATTTTCAATGACGACCTCCCCTGGGCTATCGCAGTGGGCTAAGTCCCCTACCCATGTAGCTGGCAATACCCTTGATCTTATTTTCTCTCATGAATGTACAATCTCTAATCTCTGTAACACTCCATTTCCTCTCTCAGATCACCACCTCTTATCATTTGCTCTCAATAGCCCCTTACTCCATCATCCTTAACCTAACCCTAAGAAGAAATCCGAATTATATTGACCTCCAGCAGCTATCCGCTAATATTGATTCCCAACTTCTATCCATCCCTACTTTCTCCTGTCTCTCACTGGCTATCTCCTCATAAAACACTATCCTCACCTCTTCCCTGGACGTTGCAGCCCTGCTCCAAACATGCACCTTGAGGAGAACACACCCCCCAACGTGGCACACTAAATCAACACGCTACCTGCAGAGATGCTCCTGTTCTACTGAACGTTACTGGAGGAAGTCACGCACCCAGTCAGTCTTCCTCCATTACAAATACATGTTGCAGTCATACAGCACAGCCCTTGCCCAATAGTCATACTTTATCTCCCTCATTAGCTCATGCTCCCGCAATCCCAGGCATCTTTTTAATACCTTTAACTCCCTTATTTGCCCTGCTGTTGCCATTCCCCCAAACTAACCTTACAGCTGATAGCTTTGCATGCTAATTTACCGACACGATTGAACAGCTAAGGAAATAATTCTCACCAGCTGGATCATGCCTTGCCTACACTTCAGACTTTCTCCCAGGCTACTGAACAAGAGATGGCTGCGCTTCTCCTTTCCTCTTATCCCACCACTTGCTCGCTTGATCCTGTCCCGTCTTACCTTATCAGATCTCTCTCCTCTTGTTTTGTGCCTTTTCTAACACACATTTTCAACTGCTCTCTCTCTTCTGGTGGTGTCCCTGCTGCCCTTAAACATGCTACTGTAGTACCAATCTTAAAAAACAAACAAAAAAAAAATCTCTTGACCTGTCTTCGCCTTCTAACGATCGTCCCATATCCCTGCTGCCTTTTTCCTCAAAGCTTCTGGAAAGACTGGTCTTTACCTGTCTGACTTGTTTCTTCAATTCCAACTCTCTACTTGACCCTCTTCAGTCTACTTCTGCCCCCTCCGCTCTATTGAGGATGCTCTTATTAAAGCCACTAACAACCTAATTACAGCTAAATCCAAAGGGCACTACTCTATAATAATTCTTCTTGACCTCTCTGCTGCCTTTTACACTGTTGACCATGTTCTCCTTCTCCAAACTCTTCAATTACTCGATCTCTGTGATACTGTCCTCTCTCGGTTTTCCTCCTATCTCTCCCAACGCTCATTCAGTGTCTCCTTTTCTAATGATGCCTCCTCCCTTTGTCCTCTCTCTGTTGGAGTCCCCCAAGACCTGGTACCCTTCTATTTTCTCTTTATGCTGCCTCTCTTGGTAAACTTATTACCTCATTTGGATTCCAATATCACCTGTACACTGATGACACTCAAATATACTTCTCCCTGAACCTCTCCCCTGCCGTCCCGCAACATGTCACTACTTCCCTTTCTTCCATCTCGGACTGGATATTCTTTTTCTGCTTTTTGAAACTCAATCTCTCTAAAACTGAACTCCTTGTCTTTCCTCCTCCTCCTTCACTCTCCCTTCAAGTTAGTGGTACCCACATCAGTCCATCCTTGCAAGCGTTATACTTGATTCTGGACTCACATTTGAGCCTCACATCCAGTCTGTTGCCAAATCCTTTAGATTCAACCTTAAAAACATAGCCCGTATCCGCCTCTTTCTTACGCAAGATGCTACTAAGGAGCTGGTCCATGCTCTAGTTATCTCTCGCATTGATTATTGCAACCTTCTCCTAATAGGTCTTCCCACAAGTCGTATTGCCCCGCTACAGTCTGTAATGAATGCTGCAGCTAGACTGAATTTCCTCTCCTGTCGCTCCTCTCCCCTCTGTCAGCCCTTACATTGGCTTCCTGTATCCTACACACCTATAAAGCACTTACTAATTCTAGACCCTCCTATATCTCTTCACTGAGCCGCAGGTATGCCCCTTCTCGGTCTCTCCGCTCCGCCCATGACCTTCTCCTGATCGCTGCTCGCACCCGTACGGCCAGCTCATGAATGCAGGACTTCTCGCGGGTGGCTCCTTTCCTTTGGAATAGCCTGCCTATGACCACCAAGCTCTCCCTAGTCTTCAGTCATTTAAAAAGTGCCTCAACGCCCATCTCTTTAGGAAAGCTTATGGCCTCCCAGAGTAACATCTACTTCACGTACCTGTCCCTTGCTCCTAAAGGGCAGAACTCTACTCTCTCTTCCAGCTCTGCTTCACTCCACCTTGTTTGATTGCTACCTCCTGTCCTGTTGGGTTTTACGCCCCACCTCCTATAGACTGTAAGCTCATTTGAGCAGGGTCCTCTTCAACCTATTGTTCCTATAAGTTTTTTTAATGTCTCATTTATGGTAAAATCTCCCCCTTTGATAATATTGTAAAGTGCTACGGAATATGCTGGCGCTATATAAATACCAGTTATAATAATAATAATACAAAGTACGAAGAAAAATAAAATTTTAAACAGACTCTCAATTTTGAATATTTCATGCACAGTCTCCAAATATTTTAGAGGAGCAGTTAAATATACAATCCCTGAATACAAATGCCCATGCTGGCAGGGATGATCAAAATAAAGTTATCTCCATATACAGAGAATGTATAAATAATAATAATGGTCTTGAAACAAAAATCATCACTACGCACTGGACGGAGAGTAGTGAATTGAACTAGAAGCGGTTCGAAACATCATTACACTGTGTTATATCTATCATTACTTTGAAGAAACCTCCTGAAACATCTTTTGTTTTGAAACTGCTTACAAGTGTCCTGAAGGCACTGCCTCTGCTTCATAAGCATTTAAGGAAAGCGGTCTTATCTTTGCACCAGTCCTCATGGGGATATAGTCAGTTTTAACCTCATCAGACAATCAAAATAAACAGATGAAAATTTCCTGTCCCAATTCCATTTCCATAACATAACAAACGTATGCTCTATGTTTAGGTACAGTGCTGCTAACCCGCTCTTCTGCACATAATTACTTGCAACTGCAGAGATATGCAAAAAAATGACTTGAGGTGTAAGTTCACCTCTTCACCGAGAGATATCACATTAGGAAATGTATGTTTTACAATGCCTGTCCATGGCATGTATCCGCTATACAAGCCACACCTATTAGAACAGGCTGCTTCACAGCGCAATTTAATCTAAAGGCTACATACACAAAATTGTAAATGAAGCTTCCAGTAGGCTCATTACAGTGACACAGTTTATATCAGCAGTTAATTTCATTGTATAGGGTATAGCTACTAGACACTGAACTGTAGTGAATTAAAGTCTGAATTTCAGAAATAGCCAAGCGGTGACTAGAGTGGAGTTTAATTTTTTTTTTTTTTTCAAATCTGCTACTTTTTGCAATTTGAATTTCAAGTCACCTTAATTCAGTGTTTAGTGAATAAACCCCTTAGTGAGTAACAGAATGACAGAAAACAATATTATGGAGTGTTATGGAATATGCTGAACTCCCGCCAAACGTAATGGAAGCATATTATTCACGCAAGTTATTTTCTGGTTTGTTGAGAACTCCTGCTGAAGCTACAAACCCTGAGGATCTATGGTGAGTATGTTGCATAATTTAACAGGAATCCACAGTATGTTTTTATTTTACTTTTTTAAATGGCTTGTCTGCATTGAGCTACCTCTCATACTGGAGTGACCCTTCAAGACTATCTTGTAAGAGTGAGTTAAAGAAAAATGTCACTTATGTGCCAAAACTGCAGGTACCCCTTACATTTCCTGTACTGAACAAGTACCAGTGGCTATTGGTCATGAGTTACATGCACACATGCAGAAATTAATTAACTATAAAAGGTCTTCTCTTCACCATATACAATTGTCCTTGTACCTTTTTTTTTTTTTTTTAAACTAATATATAGGCATTTATAAATTGTCATTATAGCCACAGGAAGAACTCAATGCAAACCGAGAATTTGTTTATGGCTTACAGAGATGCTTGCCTATGTATTGATGACTATGAGTATTTTGCTGGAGAAGGTTCTCTAGTGAGTTTTAGGGGGAGCACCAATAACAGAGAATGCCAAACTTATACACATCAGTAATATTAAGAAGAATCAGTGCCTTACAGAAAGTGAGTAAATTAAAGCTCCTAAACCGATGGATAACCAATCTGCTGCAGTTCACAATTACCATAAAACTGTAAAAAAGGACTGTAAACACACTGCCCACGTAAAAAAGAACACTATAGCATTAAGAATACAAATTTGTATTCCTAACACTATAGTGCCCAGGTGGCTATTTAAGCCCTGGCCCCCACCTGCATGGAGGAAAAAAAAAAAAAAGTATTTTACTTGCAGCACTGGTCTATGTGTCTGGCTCTGGCTCCATGGCTGACATAGCGAGATTAATAATCTTACGCAATTTAATACTATCCAATAGGAAAGCATTTGAAGGCTAGTTCACATGCGTGGCAAAACGCTGTACTGCAACAAACAATTTCTCTGAGATAATCTAAAAGAAATAGTTTCACTCTGCTATTTATGTGGAGGCATCTCTAGTGGCTGTCTGCAGAATGGAAATGTTTTACATTACAGGGTTAAAACGTGTGTGGGAGAGAACACCATGAATTGGTCTTAGTGCCTATAGTGTCCCTTTAGTGCACTTAAAATGCAGACTGTCATATACCTCCATGAGAAGAGGGTTACAAATACTGTTGACATCTGGTAACCAAAACTGGTACAACCTTGAAGATACCTGTAATGAGGGCTGTGCACCAGACCTACAGGAAAAAAAAGAGACCCTTTAAAAAGGCCAGGTGAGCGATACGGTTTCCTGTTTCTGCTGTGTTGATGGTACTATTTAGCGCATCACTATGGTTTGAACTGGTCTTTTAAAGCAAGGCTTTAAATATGGCATCCTGGAGTGAATTGTGTGCATACGGCACCCGTGATTAGTTTAAATTTTGTTTTTTGAAAACCACAAACAATATTACTAGCAGATCGTAATGTTGAGTGTACGGTTATTATATTATTATTTCAGTTATTAATTTTACATTATTGCCACAAGACAACAAAAATAATATCCTTATTTGGTAAACCCAGAGATAAAGAATGGTAGCAGGGCAAAGGTGTTCCTTAGTTCACCCTTGCACTTTTGAAATACACTACCTGCTTCTGACACCTACAAATATTTACCAGCAAGTCCGCACAAGGTAGGTTACATCAAGAGACAGAAAGAGGGAGAAATGCAGGCGATGAGTGTTTCTCCCATGTCTATAAACCAAGCTCGTCAAGAGTAAATAGGCAAATATCCTGATACCATTCTATAGCTCTATGACTTTACTGATATAGGATATTTAGAAGAAGAGGCTGCCCTCTTGTGGTGAGAATTTAAAATAACTTTTCTAGAGAGGAAGAAATAGTTTGACACATCTTTCTAGCAAGACACTAAGTGACATTGGCTTTAGTCATTTTCTAAGTGGCTGTGGTAGTCATTGTAATTAAAATAATGATATAAGAATAATATATTTTCAGCATTAGTGTCTGCTGGTTAAATTATTTAAGTAAAATTTCTTATAGAAAATGAATCGTGTACGCACCTTTTTAGTGTTTTAATAAAGGTTAAGTATTAGCAAATCTATTTTTCCTAACCACTCTTTATTCTTTGTGATAAGCTCATAGAATGGTTTCTGCTGGATCACATGAGTGAGTTAGAACTCCTCTATATCCATTCGAAGTAGGCACTACCTGCAGATCACAACATAACTATTCTCAGATTGTGTGTCACACATATTAGTTTAAGTAAGAGAACCAGTGAAGGTGCTTGCAACACATACCTTCATCAAACAACTTCTCAAACATGCAAAAGCAGATGCCAGGTCTCTGCAAACCAGCTTGCCCATTCACCTTATCTCAAACCTGTAAACTAAAAAAAAACAAGAACACTCAAAACACAAAAGGGTCTGCATAACATACTTTTTTTTTGTACATGACTCATTTCAAAATGCAGCCTTGCATTTAAATAGAAGTGAGTATTTTAAATAAAATGACAAAGAGGGGAGGGCGGTCAAATTCCTTCATTGGGAAAATGAAGTCTAATCAGTGGGCCTTCTAAAATCTAAAAGTGAAATTCTTTTGTGAATAAGGGACAGCCCTAGCGCAAGGATAAGGATTAAATAGCTTTGGATCCAGCTGTCATCTGTAGCTTTATTGCTTGAGATAAGATGATGTTTGTAGGGCGGATTCGCAAAAAAAAGTGCACAGGAAGTTTTCCTCAGTGAATTTAAACATCACTGAGAGTGTAAGTAGGAAACAAATGCAGAAGAATTCCATTTTGGATACGTTGGCATGATACTAACTCTTTTTCGAAGTGGGCCACTGTTCCCAAAACACTTCAGGTGGATTTCAGTTTTTGGCTGGAGTTAGGGAATTTGCATCTCCTACCGGAACAAAAATTAGTGCCACGTACAGTCGATCTGTGTATCCCTGTAGAGTTAGTTGGGAGCTGCGTGGTTTAGTTGTAACAGGGTGTTTGTTGTGTAATTCTGGAAAAGTGGCTGCAAAAACATGCCAATTGTCCCAAAGACACATACAAACACAAAAATCCACAGGAACAAGCGATCGATCACCATGGCAACATATTTCCAATCTTCACTCACCTAAAACACACAAAGAAGGGGAAATATTAATGTATTAAAAGCTATTTTTACCTTCAATTTCCGTGTAATATTTCCCTCCCAATTTTCAATGAATGTTCTAATACATCCCGGCATCTAAGGCAAAGATATCTCAGCAAAGTTTGGGCAGCATGGGAAGGTGGTGACTTATACCAACCAAAGTGATGCACTATGTTAGAAATATTTGCTAAACTTTAGAGTCAACATATGGACATACTATGTACAAGTGATGTATCATTCCTGAAATTCTAAACTCACCTCTGAATTGATCAGAATTAATTCTGAATTACTCCAAAACGTCACCAAAATAAGGATGATTGGCTTACAAATAGTTTGTTAGTCAAGTCCCAAATTTAGCCCCTAACTTATGAAATATGAGCTGCTGTCTTCACGAAAGTTTTACAATATAAATTTATAAGCAAACACAATGAAACAGGTTTCTCTATAAGGAGGGGAAGGGGCTGGCAAAATTATAGACATAATATTAAATATTGTATTCTAAAGTTAATTTCCACAAGGTGGAAGCAATTTATAAACAAAACAAGAAAAGCGTGAACTCATAGATAGATGAAAACCTAACTACTATGAATCTTTTTATTTACTCCATGGAGAAAACAAAATCTGTTACCTTTTGAGGCAGGACATTTTTTATATATTTTAAAAAACGTATTTATTATAAGTTAGAAAAAAGTAGGGATAGAGTAGAGGACACAAAAAATCTCTAAACAAACTACTGGGCAGGAGTGAAATAATCACTGGTAAATGTTAAGAACTATCTGCTTCCATAATACAAGGTGTAATTTTAAGAACTACACGTAAGAACTGTTGAACTGGAGCTAGAGCCAAAACATTGCTGAAGTAGCATTGCAAGCGCTTGACACTTTAAAGGAATAGACTTAGACCCTTAACCAGGATGTCTTACATAAACTGAAGAACCTAAGAAGCAAAAAAGACCTTCAGTATACAGTCACTATGAAAAATCTACTTGTGAGAGAGCCAGGCTCTGATGGTCACCAGTTAGGAATCAGGATGGAGAGGATACAAAGACCTTACAACAAGAAATATTTTTAATAAGGAAGATGTCGGGGGGCGGGGCCGGGCTGGGGAGCTGAACAGACGCTTGCAGCATGAGCTCCCGTCTGAATACTCACTTTACATGAAATTAACCTGACTTCCAAGCTATTTAATCCCCTGTAATTGCATCACCCATGTCAGAGAAGCAAAGGAGATCATAACGAGACGTTTTAAGAACGGCTGAGACACGGGAAACGCGGGTCACATCACTGGGGCCTACTGCAGTGCTAACCGACCCGATTTGTGGCCTGTGAAGAGGCGGCCGATCACCCAGCCTGGAGCCCCCTAGAAGCAGATCTCGAAGCGACAGAAGACCATCCACCAGCCTCCCTTCCCCTCGTGAGTGTTATCCCGGCACCAACGGTACAGTTAAGGCAGAGACCCACGTCCCAAGGCCTGCTCGAGCCAAGAATCACCAATCCCAAAATGGCAGATGCCACGCGCCAGCCGGCAGGCATGGGGGCCTGTGGGGACCCAGTGACTAACTCACTTACAAAGCTCAACAAGATTTTCGCTGCCTTCTGGGCCAAGATATATCGTCGAGGAACCTGAACACGGTTCCAGTTTCAGTCAATCAGGCTATTACTGCACCTACACCCCCGGCAATTTCATGCCTTCAGGGCGGAAGCAGAATGACAACCGCTGGCGGTTCCTTAAAGAGGCGCAGAAGTCGTGACCGGCGGCACAGGCAGAAACGAAAAGTCTGCCCCACGCCTAACATCCAGCCTCACCCTGACATGGGTTCTGGGGGACTGTAGCTGGCAACCAGAGGGGATCGGGTTAACAGAGGCACAGAACCGGAGTGTGCCAGGCATATTTCACCACAGCTGGACTTCCTCACCATGCCCCCTAATACAAGAACTGTTCTCTGCACACTAGCTTAACGCACAGCACAGTAATAGTCCTTAACCTATTATTCTTTTATTTTGCGCAGAGTTTTTGTGCTTACTTCTTACCTGAGTTTATTTTAACAGCTCATGCATTGTGTTATCAGCTAGGACAACTAATGGGGCAGCCCAAGCATGTAAAAAATTGCTGAAATACTGTTGGTTTAAATTTACATTTAACACCGAGCTATCATTGACTCAAACATAAAAATCTCCTTCTCAAATGCTATGCTACACACCTTACCATAACTTTAAGCATAACTTAACATATGCATAATATCGAGTCTAGCATGTTTACTATAAAATATTGCTTTCTTATGTTCTCCATGTTATATAAAAAAGTGCTGTTCAAAAAGAGCCAGTTGCTGTTGTGGCTCTGCATGCATGCTGTTCATATATGCACAATAAAAATAAAGAATTGAAAAAAAATAAAAAATAAGGAAGATGTCAAAAAGGTTTTATTAGCAATGTTCATTAACTCTTAATTATAAGTTCAACAAGGTTTGTGGTTAAAGCTGTGATAATGCCTAACTTCTGTCTCATGTAGGTGCTCTTTTATTCTATGGTGAGCACAAATGGTTTTACACCTCATTTGAGAAATCACTATTTTTCATGGATGTTATATTGCACAGTACAATTCTGTATTGCACCTTAATTTCACCTTATTAAAAAGTATTTATTGCCTTATAGACACAGCGCACCATTTTAGCTTTTGTTAATATTTTAAGTGTTTTTGAGAGCTATTTGCACTTTTAAAGGGTCCAGCTTTTAATCACATAGTAAGTGATGTTTTTTTTTTTTAACACACATATTTAAAAGATTTATTGTAGCTATTTGGATAGCGCCTTTTTTTTTACTTGTTTTTTTGGTATATGTATTGCAACTTAAGTAAGCAGAAGTATAGATCAGGGTGTTGCAGTGGATGTGATAGGTTAGTCTTCAAACTAAAACTTTAGTCTTCAAAAGATAAATTGGTCTAGATGAATATTCTTGGGTAGAACATTGGCTTAAGGATGGAGTACAGAGAGTTGTCATTAATGGTACATTTTCAAGATGGACAGAAGTGGTAAGTGAAGTCCCTCAAGGGTCTGTTTTGGGATTGCTTCTATTTAACATATTTATAAAGGATATTGAAATAGGCATTGTTAGCCATGTTTCAGTGTTTGCAGATGACACAAAACTTTGTAAAGTAATAAAATGTGAGTAGGCAATTGCTTTGCTGCAGAGGGATTTGGATAGATTGGGGAACTGGGCACTAGAATGGCAGATGAAATTTAATGTAGAGAAATGCACTTTGGTGTCAAGAATGCTCAAGCAACTTATACCCTAATGGTAGTGAATTAAGGATAACCACATACGAGAAGGATTTGGGAATTGTTATAGACAACAAATTAGGCAGCAATATGCAATGTTAATCTGCAGTTGCTAAGGCCAGTAAGGTTTTGTCATGTATAAATAGGGGCATAAATTCTCAGGATGAAAATATAATTTTGCCTCTTTATAAATCGCTGGTGAGACCACACCTTGAATATGCTGTGCAATTTTGGGCGCCTGTTCTAAAGAAGGATATCATGGCACTCGAAAAAGTGCAGAGAAGAGCTACAAAATTAATAAAAGGAATTAAGCATTTTAGTTACAAAGAAAGGTTAAAAAATGTAAAATCTCTTTAGTTTGGAAAAAAATGGTGCCTCAGAGGGGATATTATAACATTATACAAATATATTCAGGCAAGTACAAACCATTATCTGGAAATCTATTCATAAACAGGGCTATACATAGGACATGAAGTCACACATTTAGGCCGGAAGAAAGGAGATTTAATCTAAGGCAAAGAAAAGGTTTTTTTTTTTTTTTTTACAGTAAGAGCAATAAGGATATGGAATTATCTGCCTGAAGAGGTGGTTTTATCAGAGTCCATACATATATTTAAACAGCAATTGGATAAATACTTGCAAAAACATAACATACAGGGATATCATTTTTAATTAGTGGGGTAATAGCTGCTTGATCCAAGGAGGCATCTGACTGCTGTTTGGGGGTCAAGAAGGATTTAGTTTGTTGCAAAATTGGAAGCGCTTCAGACTGGGTTTTTTGCCTTCTTTTGGATCAACAGCAAAAACATATGTGAGGAAGGCTGAACTTGATGGACGCAAGTCTCTTTTTAGCAATGTAACTACGTAACTTATGCCAGCAGAGGGACAAGAAAATCAATGATTTTTTTTTAACTTTAATAGCTAAACATTGCCTTTTACTTTGATATAGTTTGCTGCCAATTTCCAAGATTGGTGGTTCGTATATATTTCTATATTGTACCTATGTGCTGAATCACATTGAATAAAATAAATGAAGGCCAAATGAGATGTTATACTAAAAAACTGTCACTAGATGGCGTCAAAACAATCCTGATAACTGAACTAACACAGAAGGAAAAGTAATGAAAAAAAATCTGTGAGAGGCTAGACAGGAGCAGTGACAGGTTCTTTCTGTACAGAACAGATCAACCGACAGAAGGGGCTGACATTAGCTGCATTACGTCCATATATGTCAGATCAGCTACTGAGCAAATGCAATCACCCCAAACTCCAATATGCAAAAATAAATAAATGTAATTAAAATATATATATATATTTAAAAAAAATATGAGCAGAGCCATTAGTGATCCCCTTTTAAACAAATAATCATAGCAGGCGTCCCACAGTTTAAAGTGTGCATGTGAGTTTCAGGAACATAATTATATAGAACGGTCAAAGTGCCAAAATGAGATTTATGTAGATTGTGTGTCACAGTGACTGTGGATCTATTGGGTACGATATCTATACTATAATTACTCAATAAGGAGATGTTTTGCTAATACTCAAGATGTGTTGTTCATTCCTACCTTTGTTTTCTGAATCATTTTGTCCCTGGATGCTGTTTTTTTGTTTGTTTGTTTTATTAAATATATATTTTCCAATACACTCGGGATCTCATCTCTCGGTTAGCGCTAGTGCTCCATTAAAATGTTCCCTGACCCCGTAAAATAGATGCCCATACAAATGTCCAGAGGTATTAAATCTGTAAGGAGTTGTAGTCCTTGGTTGTTTTTCCTGTTAATTTACATCAGCATTGTGTGTGCTTAGAAATTGCTTCTACATTGTTGAAATAAACCTTGGAATACTGTATTAAGTGGTTTTCCCTTTTACATTTGCTTGTGGAATAAAAGCTTCATTAGCCCATATACTTTTTTACTACATACATTTAGCTATTGAATACAATATTTTGGTTACTTTGCTTGGTAATTCATTAATCTGCTTAATTATCAAATGTACACTGAACAAAAAAACTTCACATAGATGTCTTACCATTGGTGGGAAAATCACATGGAGCATGTGCAGACTTTGCATCGTTGCTTAAGGCCAAACAACTACTGCAGGGGCTTCACAAATCACTTGATGCACAACCTTACATTTGTTGATGTTAACTTCCTTATTTTAAACCTACTCAGTCTTTGTTTAAATACATGATAAATAAGTGAATAAATTCGTATATGTACAGATCTCAAAATTAAAACAAAAGTATTAAATATGAAATTGCTTAAATTAGAGTTAGAGATACTTACACTCTGGTCATCATCTTCACTCTTCATGTGATCAGCTATGAAGCGCACCCCGTCCACAGCCTCCTCTAAGCCACAAAGACATTGTCGTACTTTTCCTTGTCTGTCTCGGAACCCATTAACCCCCTCTGGTAGCTCGGGAAGCTGCCCCCCATACTTTTTCACCGTGGCTTGATTAACATAGCAGGTGCAGGATTTGGCGCTATCCCTTAAGAAAAAGCTTCCAGTTGCTCTTTCCTGGCTTTGCCTCTGCTGTCGAAGTCGCTGACGGGCACAGTTCTGCCTTGGCTGTTTCATAAAGAGTAAAGTTGGAAGCTTGTCTAAGAATACCACTTTGACCCAAGGGGGCATGGTGTGTGTTGTAGGGGAACGGTGGTGCACATTTAACACACAAACACTGGTTACAATGGAAAAAGTCACTAGAACCATAGTGAACATCAGATATTTGCCCACCAGTGGCACATCCAGAGAGGTTGGAGGTACGATCTTGGAAATCAGAAGTAGGAAGACAGTTAATGCAAGCAACACCGAAATGCACAATGTCATCTTCTCGCCACAGTCGGAAGGCAAGTAGAAGACAAGGATGGCCAATGACGTAATAAGAATGCAAGGTATAATGAGATTGATGGTGTAGAAGAGGGGCTTGCGTCGAATTATGAAATCATAGGTAATGTCCACATAGGTAGTGTCCTCTGGGTTCTCATTTCGTCTCCCTGGTAAAGCCATGATGTCCCATTCCCCACTAGGTGTGAAGTCATCAAGACTAGCCACGTCACTCTTCAGCACAAGATCAATCTCTGTGCGGTCATATGTCCAAGAACGGAATTTCATAGTACAGTTCTGCTGGTCAAAAGGGAAGTGCTTGACCTCGATTTTGCAGGCGCTTTTATATATAGCAGGGGGTAACCAAAAAATGCTTCCATCATAGGAAACCACAGCATTGGAGTAGAAAGACACCTCATACATCCCATCAGCACTAGAAAAAGACAAAATAAAATCAGTAAGGATCCTTTAATTTCTCACTAATAATCTTTTAATGTCAATTTGCCTCATGTCTATAATTTTAACAATAATTTTAGAAGAAACTTTCTCAGTGTTAGATGGGTGGATAGTAATAATTGCTCAACTGGTTTCCACAAACTCTCTAGAAGCCTATTGGCACCAATCTAAAATTCCATCTAGCCATAAAATTGTATCTAACATCTGGAGAGATCTCTATATGCTTGGTTGAAAGATATTGCCAATAAAAAAAATAAAAAAAATGACAGTATTAAAATGAAGAACAAGGTAGAAAATTGTACCAATGTTTGCATGTTTAGGATGTCCTGTGGTCTGTAACTCCTCTCCCCCTTTATCAGGATTAGTCATCATGGGATTATTGGTATTTACAGTCCACAGCACTTTAAAGACAGGTACCCAATAACTCCCCCTTAAGCCTAAGCCCTCCCAACACAAAACCCTTCTGGTATATTACCCTAAATCACCCCATAGCTCAAAAAGCTACTACAATCTAAACCACTCCAACACAGACTTGTTTAATGTTATACTTTTTCAATTCTGTGTCCTTTTTAAAAAAAAAATTATTTGTATTTGTTGCAGTTTGTTTACTTAGGTTCTCCTTAAGTTAAAAGGGTAATCCAGACGTGGAACCTGTGCTCACTGTGCCTAAAGGGGTATCAGCTAAACTTTATTGATGAGACCCAAAAAAGGCCAAAAAGCTTGTCTGTGGTACCTGTATCTCTCATGCTTAGGGAACTTGCCAGCATTTTGGATCTGGACTGCCATTATAGCGGAGATCAGTCTGATATGCAAATGGTGTAGATTAACTCTGTAATGGAACACATGAGCAAAATCTCTCAGGAGATTGAGGCTTCTCTGAGCTTTTTGACTGTTCTAAGAATTCTTATATTCTCGGTTTTTGTTGCAATCTGATACATAATATTTAAAACTTGCCTTTTTAGAGACAGCATTCTAATTTCATAAGGAGTAGAAAGACTAATCTCCAGTCTCCTGGAGAATTTCTCCAAGAGTGAGGGGAGTCCATACTCACTTGTTGTAGAGTACGACATCTGGAAGCCAGATGTGCTTGGAGGGAAGCCTGACTTTTTTCATATGATCAAATTCTGCTGGGTCCCAGGTTAGCCTGTAATCCTCCCATTCCTGCAAGAACAATGACGCCAAGGTTAAAACAGAAAGACTGCGTAACCATTATCAGAATACACACTTTATATAGAAAGATGTTTAACCTACTATACACTAGCTGTGTTGGTACTTATGGATTTCTGTGTTTTGAGAGTGTGAGTGCTCTAAGTGTACTAGTAAGGAGGGTGTGCTACTACAGGGAGTGCAGAATTATTAGGCAAGTTGTATTTTTGAGGATTAATTTTATTATTGAACAACAACCATGTTCTCAATGAACCCAAAAAACTCATTAATATCAAAGCTGAATATTTTTGGAAGTAGTTTTTAGTTTGTTTTTAGTTATAGCTATGTTAGGGGGATATCTGTGTGTGCAGGTGACTATTACTGTGCATAATTATTAGGCAACTTAACAAAAAACAAATATATACCCATTTCAATTATTTATTATTACCAGTGAAACCAATATAACATCTCAACATTCACAAATATACATTTCTGACATTCAAAACAAAACAAAAACAAATCAGTGACCAATATAGCCACCTTTCTTTGCAAGGACACTCAAAAGCCTGCCATCCATGGATTCGGTCAGTGTTTTGATCTGTTCACCATCAACATTGCGTGCAGCAGCAACCACAGCCTCCCAGACACTGTTCAGAGAGGTGTACTGTTTTCCCTCCTTGTAAATCTCGCTTGATTGTTCGATGATCACGCTTCAGAAGCTTTGCAATTTTAAGAGTGCTGCATCCCTCTGCAAGATATCTCACTATTTTTTACTTTTCTGAGCCTGTCAAGTCCTTCTTTTGACCCATTTTGCCAAAGGAAAGGAAGTTGCCTAATAATTATACACACCTGATATAGGGTGTTGATGTCATTAGACCACACCCCTTCTCATTACAGAGATGCACATCACCTAATATGCTTAATTGGTAGTAGGCTTTCGAGCCTATACAGCTTGGAGTAAGACAACATGCATAAAGAGGATGATGTGGTCAAAATACTCATTTGCCTAATAATTCTGCACTCCCTGTATGGAGGGTGTGACTGCTCTTGGTGTATTAGCATTGACGGTGTGACTGCTCCAAGTGTACTAGTAATAAGGGTGAAGGTACTCTAGATGTACTAGTAAGGAGGGTGCGCGTACTGGAGATGTATTAATAAGGAGCATGTGAGTGCATTTGATGTACAAGTAATAAAGATGTAAGTGCTTTAGATGTATAGCTAATTGCAGTGTACCAGAGAGGGGTTATTTGTAGAGCACCCTTACTAACAATAAGGGTTTTATGAAGGTGTGAGTTATCTGGGGATAACGATAATGGTTTAATTGAGGTGATACTGCTCTGACTGTACAGCTTGTACTTTTGTGGGTGCATCTGTATAAGGAGTTTTCTGGGTGTTTATTTAAGGGTCTAAAGATGGTACAAATACTATTTGATTACCATTGAAGGGAACAAGTAAGGTGAGAGTGATCCTGGCATCATGAGAAAGGTGCACTGGTGCTCTCGTAAGTTCTCTGGTCGTACTGGTACTACCAAGTAAGGTGTGAATACTCCTGGACTACCAATATGATGTATGTAAAAGTATAATGTTCTGGCAGTTTAGTTGATAAAGCAAAAATATATCAAAAAGGAAAAGGTTCTCTCTTCAATATAGTACTCGTATACTCACTGTGGAGCTGTTGATAAATGTACTTAAAAATTAAACGTGTAAGAAATCTAAAATTGTTTTGTGTTAGTTAATAATGGTCTACTTTCTAACACTACCAGTAACAGCGTAAGTGTACACGGCCTGTTAGTAGAGATGTCGCGAACTTCTCGCGAACGGTTCGCCGCGAACTCCGGTCAGCTGACACATCCCAGCCAATCTCCAGCAGACCCTCCCTCCCAGACACTCCCACCTCCTGGACAGCATCCATGTTGAAGCTGCCTTCAACATGGATGCTGTCCAGGAAGTAGGAGGGTCTGGGAGGGAGGGTCTGCTGGAGATTGGCCGGGATGTGTCAGCTGACCAGAGTTCGCCGCGAACGGTTCTTGGCGAACCGCGGTGAACCGTTCGCGAGAAGTTCGCGGACATCTCTACCTGTTAGTAGTGATGTTGCGAACCGTTCGCGAACTTCCGTGAACGGTTCGCCACGAACGGTTCGCGGCGAACTCCGGTCAGCTGACACATCCCTGCCAATCTCCGACAGACCCTCCCTCCCAGACCCTCCCACCTCCTGCACAGCATCCATGTTGAAGCTGCCTTCAACATGGATGCTGTCCAGCAAGTAGGAGGGTCTGGGAGGGACGGTCTGCCGGAGATTGGCAGGGATGTGTCAGCTGACCGGAGTTCGCCTCGAACGGTTCTTGGCGAACCACGGCGAACTGTTTGTGGCAAGTTCGTGAACGGTTCGCGACATCACTATCTGTTAGATGCCAACAAACTGAAAGACCATATCCTAATAAAATAACTGTGCAACCTATTCAAGAACATGGATTTGTGTAGTTACAGTTTAATTTTAGGTTGTGGAGGTAAATGGTTAATGAAGTGACGTGCATTACTTCTAGTGAGCAATCTGTGTGTGTGTATATACACAACATGATTCCCTTAGCACTCAGTGAAGATGAAGAAGGGTGTTTAAACACAAAAGCTTCACCAGAAGATTCCCTTGAAACTAACGCAAGCAGAGAGCCAGGCTAAGAAGGACACAATCACCTTGACTATAGGAAAGGGCGATTATGTAATTAACAGAGCTGGGAGCAGGCTCTCCCTATGGGACAAGCAGAATAGATTTCAAAACATGAAACAGACAAATACTGCTTTCCGAGTCATTATGCCTCCTCTTTTACATGCTACTAATTTTAAAAATCACCCTTTTTATACCATATTTAGATGGGCAGGTGAGATAGGAAATTGTAAACACGTCACACTGAACTATCATTACTCTGAATAATTTACATTTTGTCTGGCTTATTTTATACATCAGAGCTACAAGAGATTACAGTGGAGATGACTCATTATCTCCGCTTTGTTGAAGATGCTGTCTTTGATCAGTAAGTATAGGATTAATTAGTTAAAGACCACGCTAGCAGCAAAGATGGCAAACAAGATTGTGCGGCCAATAACAACTCTTTGGCACATCTCATCTACAGATTTAAAAATCTAAAAGCTTGCTATAAGGGACTTTCATCATCAGTCAGTAATAAGCAGTTTGTTTTATCAAGATGTGAATCTGGCTAAGTTTCAGCTGCAAAGTAAGGCTTTGTCAAGTCTTGGTAGAATAAACTCTGCATGTCACTGACTGGTGCTGTGGTCCATAATTACATGTACTTTGATTTTGGGACTGGAGAAATCCCTTTGATTACGGGTGGCCAAAAGGTAAATCCCCAGATGTTGTAGGACCATTCTAAACATTCTAAAGGTATGCAAAGCACTCTAAAGGTATGCAAAGCTGCTGGGAGTTGTAGTTTTACAATATCTGGGGATCTACATTTTGGGAACCCCTGCCTTAGATATTGCATCTCATTGTGCCCCTTTCTTTCTTAGTATGATATTTCATAATGTAAAACAATTAAGTATACTTATATGAAGGATTTTGCAATTTCTTTATATTAAAAATATTGCCTTTTGGTAGAAACTCGTGACTGGTCACCTTGGGTTGTTAACCTAGGTTCATCGTGGTGGGTTTCCTGCCACCTCAGGTTCTGTTAGGTTTTAAGATGGGCCTCTGAATCCTGCTGCTGAGATCACATTAAATTAAATTGGACATAAATAAGGAATCTTTGTTCAGCAGGTGGTGACTTCACCTTGAGATGCACGCCATTGTCTGACTCGGTAGTTACGTCAGGGCTTAGAGAATATTTGGTTACACATTTCAAAACACAAGAACAAAAATCTGAGAGAAACACTTAATGATAACCTTATAATACATCCCAATCTAATTTTTAAAACTGTTCAATATCAAATTTCTTACTCATATATATTTAGCTAAGCCTTACTAAGAATATTTTCATAGTAATAATTCTCAAGAGCTGCATTACCCATTTCAGGGAAAATGATTTCGATTCACATTTTTACTTGCTTTTTGAAATTAAACATATACAATAATAATGTTTAATAAGACAAATACACTGTGAAACACCAGTAATAGAAATGGTAAAAATCCCTTTCATAAATATTTCCAATTAACAATCACACACTGGCTGTAATTCGTATATGCTGTGTGTGTAAGGCAAAAAAAATCCTCAATCTCTCTCCATCCCTTCAAATGCTTTATTTAAACCCATCATTTTTGCAGGCATCCAAATCCCTCTGTTAACTCAAACACAGCTGGCCTAATAATATGCCCAATATAGACAACTGTACCTCCTGTTTGCACCTATGGTGTCAATCAGATTCACACCAAATGCCTTTACTTGTGCCATTTCCTCACGTATTTTAAGCTAGTTCTGAGTTGCTACTGAAACTGACACCCACAATATTTAAATTTAGTTTATGTAGTGTGTATTATGTATATGTTGTATTATTCAATTTACTGAAAATACGCAGGCTGCAGAATTTCATGGTGGTACATAAATAAATGATGATGGTAATAATATTTGTGAAGGTTGTTAAAGCAGAATAAAATATTTACCTGAGTCAGCCATACGTTGGTGGTCATTATCTGCTCCCGTTCATGCTACAAATAAAACACTTGTGTTAGATACAATCGTTACTTTGAGACCATTTCCCATACATCATTTACACCACAAATAATGGTTTGCGTCTAGGGAATTATTAATGACAGATGCTATAAGGACAACTATTTATTTGTACAACATTTAATCAAATGATTCACATATTTATACCCACATAACTTTTATTATTATTAACGTTATAAATATCGTACAAATATTTATCAGCATCTGCAAGTATATTTATAAAATACATATGTATATGTAATATAGATACAAAACATAAACCATGATAAGATTTATAGGATATAAGTATATCCATTATAAACTTCAGGGCATACAAACAACTGGCATTTATAATGAGGTGGAGAGTCAGGCTATCTATAGTATGTTATCTCTATTGTATTTTCTTTATTTCATTCTCATGTAATCCTTTTTTTCTGTGCTGGGTTTTATTGCATATATATTGAAACATTGACTTTTTAAATGGATTGAATAAAAGTTAAATTTTATTTGAAAATCTCTATAAGGTCCTTGGAGTGCGGTCATTTCTGCTATGTCTACATGATCCTTGCCAGACCAGCACCGGGCACCACAGGATTACACCAGGAGTGCAAGCCCTCGCTATATATATACACATACATATATATATATATATGTATTAAATATTTGTTTTAAATCTGTTTTTATTGAGGTCAACACAAGAAGCAGTTTTCCCACGCAGGGGATATAACGTAAACCGTGCATTTGTTATGGAAAAACATGAGTAGTTATGTGTACAAGTTTATCATAGCATGTTATAGCCCTATAATGTGGTACACTTGAAATATGTTTTCCTTTCTTTTTTCTTTTTTTTCTCTGCGTCGGCTGAGTTCAAGATGGGGCCTGATATGTCACTATGCGGTCAGATTGTGTCTAACTAAGCCTATGGTAAAGCTTTCAGTATATGTAACCCTATGTAATTAAGTAAACTTTGCCTTTCAATCATAAGTTTAGTATGGGTCAGTGGATGGATAACTAACTACAGCATCGTACCATATAGCTTCTGGGTGCCATAGGGCACCGATGTCGTATGTACTTGCTAAAGCCACTTGTGTCATCCTATAGACAATTCCAATGTAAGTTGTACAAGTTTATCATAGCATGTTATAGCCCTATAATGTGGTACACTTTGAATATGTTTTCCCTTTCTCTTTTTTTCTCTCTTTTTTTTTTTTCCCCCTTTTCCTTTCCCTTCTCTTCTTTTCTTTCCCCCTTCTCCTTCCTCTGCGTCGGCTGAGTTCAAGATGGGGCCTGATATGTCACTATGCGGTCAAATTGTGTCTAACTAAGCCTGTGGTAAAGCTTTCAGTATATGTAACCCTATGCAATTAAGTAAACTTTGCCTTTCAATCATATGTTTAATATGGGTCAGTGGATGGATAACTAACTACAGCATCGTACCATATAGCTTCTGGGTACCATAGGGCACCGATGTTGTATGTGCTTGCTAAAGCCACTTGTGTCATCCTATAGACAATTCCAATATAAGTTGTGTCACATGCCATATTCGTATTTGGTTTGCCAGTAATTTGATTACTATGGCTAACATGCAGCCTATGTTCGCTGAAGCCGTTTGTCTCTTAACTGTGTATAATGAATTTTGGCATAGGCCTGCAACAACAATGAGTGCAATAAAAAAAAAAAAAAAAAATTGGAAATCAACTGTAAGAACTATAACAGAGGCTAGTAGTATTATGCAATGTAAGTGAAGCACTGTATAAACAGGCGAATGTAATTTCAATGGAGATGTCCATCACATAACGTGCAATCTGATGTAGACGGTGGTTAGTTATGCCATGCAGGTATTTAAAGGCAAACAAGATTTTTATAACCTAAACATAGGTTGCAGATGTGTCATAGTGCATTTGCTGCCAACAGTGATGGGAAAAAGTGAGTCACTTCATGGGGAGTAGGAACATGCTGCGCTGTGTCGTTGCAGATAATAGGTTAAGGAGAGCAGTGTCAATTGCACCATAAGTGAGCTACCTCCGTGGTTGCCTCCATGGGCCTTCAAGCATGCCTGTCCTCCATCAGTCCTCCCTGGGGCTGACCCATCCCGCCGGTTTAGCGTACTGTGGTGCCGTGGGCACTCAAAGTCCAAATCTGTCCCCTAGACCCCCCACACCTAGAGTCCAGGTTCTGACTGTCTCCTGCACCTCCCCAGCACCACTTCAGCCTCTGTGAAGCACTTGGACCCTCATGTCTCACCTGGCGCCGGCCACACACTTAGGACTGGGGCACCTTCCTCACGGCCACCGGTACACCGGAAAGGTCTGTGCGTTCCCGTCCCACAGGACTCACTGCGGCAGGGACAATCTCCCCTGGGCCACCCCCGAAACCCAAAGGCAGGGACTGGTACTTCTCCAGGGGGCAGGCCGCCCAGGGTATCCCTCTGCAGGGCAGCAGCTGTTGGGGCCATCGAAGCGATGCGGGGAAGCCGCTCCATGAAGGTGAGTCTCCCCTGACATGCTTGAAAACGTCTCCGTCCCTGTTAGGGTGCCCTCTCATATGTAGGTTTCCTCTCCCCAGTTTCAGTGCTCTTTTCAGCTGGCTGGCCGGCTGGTTGGCCAGTGCTCGGCCATTGCCAGTGTAGGCGGTCGGCACAGAGTCCGTGCGGGGGCTCCCACTGCGGCCCGTGTCGCCGTCATGTGGCCGGGATAACCCCCGCCGGCCAAGGGGGGGGGCAGGGCCGGGCCGGGGGCCCCCCGCACCTGAAGTGCCTGTCCTGTGGGGGGGGTACCCCAATGATGCGCCTCTCCGCAGTGCCATGCTGCTGGTAACGGACGCCGATGTTTAGGAGCCGCGTGTAGGCCAGGCTCGGTTCTCTCCGCCGGCTCTCAGGCAGTAAGGTACGTGCGGGTGGCAGGCGTGTACCGGAGCCTCTCCTCCGTCAGGGACGAGATGGATTTTGTATTTTAATCAGTCTGGGGCTGTGTGAAGGGCTTTTTCTGGAGGTTTAATGGCGGAGCCCATGTAAATGGCGGCCAGTCGGCCCGGCCCCGCCCCCCTGTATTAAACATTTGATTGTCTGTTAAGATATCATTTATAGACCTCCTCGTCTTAATTGATATGTATCCCTTTGAATTCATTTCTTTGCAGAATATTTAGCCATTTCTTCCTAAAATCATACTGCTTTTTGTCCAATTCCAATTGGAAAAAAAATAATATATTTTTCCATTTCATATTGTGTTATCTGATTTCAGGCTAAGATTGTACCTTAAAGGGACACTATAGTCACAAATACAGCTTTACCTCAATAAAGCAGTTTGGGTGTATAACTCATGCCCCTGCAGTTACACTGTCTAATTCTCTGCCATTTAGCAGTTAAATCACATTGTTTATGCAGCCCTAGTCACACCTTCCTGCATGTGACTTACATAGCCTTCCTAAACACTTCCTGTAAAGAGCCATCTAATGTTTACACTTCCTTTACTGCAATTTCTGTTTAATTTAGAATTTATTTTCTCCTTTTCTACTGATAGCTTGCTTGACCCTGCAGGAGACATCTTTAATATGTTATTAAAGTTCAATTTACAAAGCATGAGATAAAAACTTTTAAAGTAAGTTATATCTGGTTGAAAATCAAAGTCACAGCCGGGGAGGTGTGGCTAGGTCTGCAAGGACAGAAACAAAGATGATTTAACTCCTAAATGCAGAGAGAATTGAGCAGTGGAATCTCAGAGGCATGATCTATACTTTAAAACATCATTAGGCTAAAGTTGTTTGGTGTTCCTTTAAGAGATTTCCAGTTTCTTGCAATTAATAATTTGATAGCAGTTAGCATATGAGAACTATCATTGTAGCTTTATTGTTTTGATTTGCAAGATTTAGATGTAGGAGAGCCTTTTCTGGGTCTATTCCAAATCTTCCAATTATTCTCTAAATAGGTCTGTCCACAGGCTGTATCTTTGTAAAGCTCACCAAATGTGTAGGGTATCAGCCTGTGTGGATCCACATCTCCAGCATCTTTGAGTAATATGTGGGTAAATTTTGTTGATCACAGAAGGCACTCGATACCAACATTTTCAATTTAAAGGGACACTATAGTCAACATATAAAAGTAAGAAAGACAGGTCCCCCAGTCTTCTTTCTTGCTTTAATATGAACTTGCCATAAAAAAATAAATCCGAGTAATAAAACTTAACTCCGTTCCACCGCCGAGCTCCCCGCTAGGCCACGAAATTGCAGGGCCCAACAGGACGCTTCTCTTTGACAAGCGCTACGGAATCTGTTGGCGCTATATAAATGGCAATAATAATAATAAAGAGTCATTGCGATGTGGTGCGTATGCGCAGTTTCGCGCTGCACGAATCGCATTCTTCATAGAGCAGCATTGAATGCCGCCCTATGAAGAAACTCAGAAAACTCATCAAGAAACTCATCTGCGTGGAATGCGCGTTGGCGAGCTGACTGACAGACAGCTCAGCTCTCTTTTGATACCCGCGCCCCTCCTCAGCCAAACTGTGTGTTTGCATGTTTGCATAGAAACACTATATATAGAGGATCTCTCTATATATAGTGTTTCTATGCAAACACACAAGTAGTAAAAAAATGAAAGACATATACACACACACTCTTTCTCCATCCATATCCATCCATCCCCATCATCCATATCCATTCCCATATCCATCCATATCCATCCCCATCATCCATATCCATCCATCCCCATCATCCACATCCATGCCCATCATCCATATCCATCCAGTCACCCACTCACCCTCACCCACCCACACTCACTAAATAAGTTTACTTACAGTTTGAATCCTCCCCTCCTCCTCGGTTTCCGGTCTTCAGCTTATCCGCTCAAGCCAATTCCACAAAGACAGGATGCTCGTGCGCAGTGCTGCCAGAGCTGCCCTGAGCGGATTGAGGCGTTTTATGCCTCAATCAACTTGGAAGTCCCTCTGGTGACTGCAACTGGAGGTGTCCCTAGCTTTGAATGTAAACACTGTATTTACTCAGAAAATACACTGTTTACATGAGAAAGGCTGCAGGGAGCTATAGTTCTCACCTGAACAACTTATTAGGCTGAAGTTGTTCAGGTGACTATAGTGTCCCTTTAAATGAAGTTCAGTTTAAGTTGGCAAACAGTGTTTCAATTTATAGCAGACATTTAACACTCCGTTCCATTCCTCGGGTCTTATCCGTAACTGTAAGTCTTTTTCCCATCTAGATATAGCTTTCTATATACTATCTTTTTTCCTTAGTCTTATCTCTAAACATTTAGCTGTAAGATGTTTATAGTTTATAGTCTGTATGGAAAATATTTTTACTCATATTTTAAAATCCCTTTGATTCTGAGATATTTAAATATCTTCTGGTCAGGGAGGTTAAATTCTATTTGTATCCTATTAAATTATTTAATGGTAGTTCCCTCTATTATATTTTGTATTTGTTTAATCCCTTTATCTATCCATGGGGTTACATCCATATTTTCCATTAATTCATTTAAAATCCTTAATGATAAACACGGCAGGATTTTACCTTTGTAATTGTATTTTTGAATTTAAACCAGTTTGACATAATATGATTTAGAGCTAAATTACCATTATATTTGGTAATAGTTTCTTAGGCAGTCTTTATTCTCCAGAATTGAGTCAATACAGTTTGCTTCTTAAAGGGAAACTATAGTGCCAGGAAAACAAACTTGTTTTTGTTGCACTATAGCTTCCCCCTCTGTAGGCCTCCCACCCCCCTGTAGTGCAGAAGGGGTTAATAACCCCTTCTGTCACTTACCTGGGTCCCTCGGCGCTGGCTCAGCTCCACCCATGCTCCTCCTCCACCAATGTCAGCTAGCAGGGGAGACCTAATGTGCATGTGCGCCAATGGCCACGCTTGCATTAGGATTTCCCCATAGGATTATTATTCAATGCTTTCCTGTGGGGATTCCGGTGACACTGGAAGTTCTCATGCATAGTGTGAGGACGTCCAGCGTCATTTACGCAACCAACAGTTGTCTGGAAGTCCCTCCAGTGGCTGTCTGTTTGACAACCACTAGAGGAGGAGTTAACCCCAGTAGGTAATTATTGCAGTTTAGAAAAACTTCAATAATTACATGCTCAGGGTTAAAGGTGATGGGACATTGCACCCAGACCACTTCAATGAGCTGAAGTGTTCTGGGTGCCTACAGTGTCCCTTTAATATCTTTTGTTTCCATTTTATACCAAGTTTTAGCGATCGCTTTATTAGTTTGTGAGGTAACGGCCTGTGCCAGCAAAGCTGCATCTGCATAGTCTTGGACAATTTGAATCCCCAATTATCTCATATATTTATTTTTAGGTAAAACGTGTAGTTTTATTCTTGTTTTTTTTCCTGCCCATTTAAATCCAGAAAAAGATGCCTGAATCAAGTTTAACCATGGTATTGGGACTTTTAACGGGATCATTCTGAATATATAAGAAATTTTTGGTAATATATAGGCCACAACGGTGTTTATACCTACATAACTTAATACGTCTGGGCGTGTTGATATGTCTACTTGAGCACAGGTGAGTCAAGTCAGGGAATAAAGATTTACATGTTGCATTGTACTTACCACACTGATGAGCTGTGCCAGAGAGACCATTAGTTGGACAGTGACCTGCTCTGAGCCGTTAGTGGCAGGACGGATCAGCTTGTTGTAACGAGAAGGATCTAGAAGAAATTCAACGAGCCTCTCCTCTGTGTCGGTAGCCACACTTCCTGTAAAGGATAAGAGGATGACTAATCAGACTGGGGTTAACGATCTAATATGAGTCTTCAGCAATACTGGGTTTACATGACTTTATTCAATCATTCCCTACCTTCAAACTGTCCTCCCGTTCTGGAAATAGAAATAAAAACAGAAAAAGACAAAAACACTATCTCCCAGCTTGTGGCTGTTTCAGAAAACAAGTGGGAGTAGATTGCAATTAAACGTTTAACGCTAAAAGTGTTGTGGGAACTGCTGCTAACATTACAAATAAATCAGGGTGAATGGAATATCCCACCATGCACAGCCAGCCACAGTATGCCAGCCCACAATAGCCGAAGGGCCCGCAGGATTAGTAATTCTGCTAAAGAGTAACACAGGTAGCCCCCATATGCCATATGAAAGCCTAGAAACAAGTCTGCCCTCAACACAAATGCAAAGACTTTACTTTTTTACTGACTGTGAAAATGTCATTACTGAATACTGTTTGAATATAAAATTCATTGCAGCCTGTAGCACCAGCAATCCTCACAAATCGTGTTAATAACACAGAGCATTAACTGTCTGCTCACTACCCTTGATTTCCATTTCCTGATTGTGTTTGTGTGTTTTGCCTTTGTTTGGTGTCAAGGGTAGTGAGCAGACAGTTCCCTTATCATAGGTGTGCGAGGCCTATTGTATAAGGGTGTGCACCCTAAAGCAGAAACACACACGCCGTGTATATATATATATATATATATATATATATATATATATATAAATATATATATATACATATATATATATACATATACATACACATACATACACACACACATACACTGTTGTGTGTGAGGGTGCTGTGTGTGTGTAGGTGCTGTGTGTGTAGGTGTTGTGTGTGTGAAGGCGCAGTGTGTGTGTGCGGGCGCAGTGTGTGTGTGCGGGCGCTGTGTGTGTGTGAAGGCGCTGTGTGTGTGTGAAGGCACTGTTAGTGTGTGCTGTGTATGTGTATGTGTAAGGGTGCTGTTAGTGTGTGTGTTTGAGGGTGCTGTGTGTGTAAGGGTGCTGTTAGTGTGTGCTTTGTGTGTAAGGGTGCTGTTAGTGTGAGGGTGCTGTGTGTAAGGGTGCTGTTAGTGTGTGTATGTGTAAGGGTGCTGTGTGTGTAAGGGTGCTGTTAGTGTGAGGGTGCTGTTAGTGTGTGTGTGTAAGGGTGTTGTTGGTGTGAGGGTGCTGTGTGTGTAAGGGTGTTGTTAGTGTGAGGGTGCTGTTAGTGTGTGTGTGCTCTGTGTGTAAGGGTGATGTATGTGTGTGTGTGTGCTGTTTGTGTGTAATGTGTGGGGTCTGTTTAGTTAATATCCTCCCTCCCTTCTTACCTTATGTAGGGAGGGGAGACCATGCTCCTGCCATCCCTTGTGGTCCAGTGGAGAGTGAACTCTAACCCCCTGTGGGGCTAGAGTTCACTCTCGTCAGATCTGAGCGTTGCCGCGGTAACCGCGGCAACGCTCCGACCGTGCAAGAGGAACCCGGCGGAGCTGCTGGCGAGAGCTCCCCGGGTCCTCTCCTGCCTCCCCCCATGCCTGTGGTTAGGTGAGGGAGATCTTTGATCTCCCTCACCGGTCCACGGGGAGGGAGGCACATAGCGCGTGCCGCAGGGATTAGGGTGTGCCTAGGCACACCCGGCACACCCCGTGCGCACGCCTATGTCCCTTATATCTCCAGCCATATTGCTAACAGGGCCATATTTGTTAGTAGGCTGCTGCCTGTCAACAAGTGGTGGCTACTCTGTAATTGTGTATACACACTACACATATTTGCAGATACAGACACACATATCTACAGATGCACACCAGAAAGACATACACAAAATCAGATCAAATCGACCAAATCAATACACAACGCTTAGGATGTGAATGGCATCCCCAAAATCACGCAAACTGCAGTGAGATAAGTAATGCACACACATCAGCCCGGGAGGGGACTGGGGGGTCGAATACTGAGGATGGTAGTCCCCCCCCCTTCCCTCTCTCGGGTGGGGGAGCTGGCCGGGTGCTGGGCCACATACTGGTCTCCGGTGGGGGCCCCATAACAAGTAACCACTCTAAAGGTCTAGGGCAGACTGGGTCAACGGATACCCTGCAATGGGACTGTGAGGACGAACTAGGAGCTCTGGCCCCCCACACACCTAGAGGACTGAGTCAGCACCTATTGCACTGACTGGGCCACACAAACTTATCCCTAAATGTTCACAAGGGCTAGCAAGGGCATACAGCCGGAGCTGGATTGCCCAGTGCACTGCATATGTTATAAGGGACTGCACAAAGCAATGTACGTTATGCGAGGGCCTGATTGTACATGGGACCTGCTCTACGCATACCATCTGGGGCACCACACACGCAGAAGGGGAACAAAAAAAACAAAACAAAAAACACACCCCACTAAAGGGCACGGAGGCGAGGTATGATCCCCAAACAGATACACGCACACTTCACATCCCATGGGAGATGTGGGCCTTGAGGCGCCCGACCTTCACCTGGTGCCCTACTGGGCGACCAATCCATGCAGGCAATACAGAGGGTCTGAACCTTCCACATGCAGGTACAGCGCATATGGGCCACGTATCTACACCGCACGCACTCAGACACACGCAGAAGGGTCCGACACCGGACCGCAGGGCGGGGGGGGGGGACCGCAGGCTAACAGATGGGGCACGGAGCAGGACACTGACACGCACACGAGGGTAAATAGAAAATGGAACCAGTAAGCAGGGCTGAAGTCCTAACCAGGAAGGAGGCGCTGACTCCCGGTGGAGTGGACATAGGGGCGGCTGCGGAGGGGCCGTGGCCAGCTGCAGCTACATCGCTACTTAGCACGCTCACATACATAGGCACAGTGGATTGGGGGGGCATTGCCATCCGTGCGGGTAGAATTATGCCGACCTGGGGGATGGATGCCTGCTCACTACAAACTCTGGCACAGTATAAGACCAGATTGTATTTTTTCTGTTTATTAGTTGTTTCGTTTCTAAGGTTTATGTTTATGACTATAGTGTATAGTTCTATGCTATTCTGTAATTTACAAGTGAGATTGAATCCCATGAATGCAATGTGTAAGCACAGACTGGGAACTCTTCCCCATAGGGCAGCACCAGCTGACCAGCCAGACCTGACTGAGAATAGCTCCCCATACCTACACCTGCAGCGCGTTCACATGACACCCTTATGACTCTGACGATCCTTACTATAAATGCTAGGGGCCTAAATACCCCCAACAAACGTAGACTCCTTAGACGAGACATCAAATCCAAGCAAGCAGACATCGCTTTTATACAGGAGACGCACTTGCCTAGGGCAGCACCAATACGACTAAACAATCATATCTACCGCACGGCCTATGAAGCTCAGGCACTCAGGAAAAAAGCGGTCATTGCAATACTAATACACAAACGATGCCCGTTCATACTGACGCACTCGCAGATCGATTCAGAGGGCAGATATATAGCCCTGACTGGTACCATACACTGTACAAGGGTCCACTTGGTCACCATTTACCCCCCTAACGTACCTGATTCCAATTATTGGGAATCACTAGAAAGGCTAGTAGCACACCTTCAGGGGGGCGTACTGGTGCTGGGGGGAGACTTTAACGCGGTCCCTTGCCCGGCGATAGACAGGAGCACCAAACAGGGTCCAGACCGCTCACCAGAAGGGAGGAGACACGACAAGCTTTTACATACATTCCTCACACACACGGGTCTCTTGGACGCCCGGCGCATTCAGCACCCTGACACAAAAGATTATACATACTACTCGGCACCACATAATACGTACTCAAGAATAGATAACATACTCCTAAACGGAGCAGGGATGACCAAATTAAGACAGACGGACATACATTCTATCACAGCTGACAACACTATACAACCATTTCCTACAAGGAGGGGCCCCTGACCGAGATATGGCTACTGCCAACATCATCTTGGTACCAAAACCAAACAAAGACACTACCCAAGCCGCTAATTATCGGCCTATATCCCTCATCAACTGTGACTTAAAAATTTTCGCAAAAATCCTGGCAACAAGGCCGGCCCCACTGCTACCCAGACTAATACACTCAGACCAAGTGGGATTTATCCCTGGCCGACAACTATATGAAAACACACGCAGAGGAGCAGATCTGCTGTGGCACATGACCCAAACGAACACCCCATCACTGGCGCTATCGCTGGACGCGGAGAAGGCCTTTGATCGGGTGCAATGGCCATTCCTGTTTTGACTTATGACCGCACAGGGTTTCCCCGAACCATACACCACAGCGATCAAAGCACTCTACACGGACCTACAGGCACAAACTATAATCACTGGAGCCCAAAGAACACCATTCCGAGTAAGTAATGGAACGAGACAGGGTTGCCCCCTCTCCCCGCTCCTCTTTGCTATAGTATTGGAACTGCTACTGCAAGCCATTAGAACGGACCCCAACATACAGGGAATCCCACTAGGCAATAGGCAATTCAAAGTCACGGCATACGCAGATGACGTACTGCTTAAGCTCACGAACCCAAGGCACTCTATTGAGCACCTCAACACGCTACTGCAGGCATATTGAAAAGTCTCGGGGTACAGAGTCAATTTTACCAAACCAACGGTGATACCAGTCCATATGACAGTGGGGGATACAACACACATTACCACCACATATAAGATTAAGATGAACACAGAGTCACTCACGTACCTAGGGATACAACTCTCGGCTAACCCTAACACATTATATAAACAGAACTACACAAGCTTAAGCAACACGCTTAAGTGATACTTGCAGACCAGGGACGATAAACCCATCACCTGGATGGGCAGAATATACTCGATAAAAATGAACATCATGCCCAGACTTCTGTTTTTATTCCAAGCACTACCTATCAGGGTCACTAGAAGTGAGCTAGCCGACATCCAGAGGGCACTTGACGCATTTATCTGGCAAAGAAAAAGACCCGGATAGCCCGGGCTGTCCTATACAACCCCAAGTGGAGGCGGGGACTGGGATTACCTCCCCTCCACCACTATTATGTAGCAGAACAGATAGCACAAATAGCGTACTGGCATAGCCCCACGGACCAACACCAATGGGTGGACATAGAAACACTATTGATGGGCGATGACTCACCGCAACTCCTGATATGGACCCCTAAAGAGCAAAGGATACTTCCCAGAAACACTTGCCCAGCAATTCTAAATTCCCTAGACATATGGGACAAAACGGCAAGTACCACCTTATGAATAATCCCTCTCCCATGGCACCGATTTGCCGCAACAGGGCGTTCCCACCGGGATTAAGTAACACAGCCACAGGGACGCGGAGATATGTCCATCTATACCAAGATAAGCAGGTAATAACATACGACTACCTAAAGACCCTAGCACCCCTCACGACCCGAGACGTCTTTCATTATCTACAACGCCCAAACCACAGAGGTTAAGACAGCACTCTCAAAACAAATGACCTTTTTCGAACGCATATGCCTTAACGAACACATGCCCACGAAACTGATTACTACCCTGTACAGACACATTGGAGTAGAGTCCGGGGAATGGGGCATGTTAACATACACAGACAGATGTGAAGCTGACCTGGGGGGGGGGGTGCTGGACGGGGAGGACTGGCGGGACATTTGGGAAGCATGCTCCAAGGTATCCATATGCACTACACTACAAGAACAAACATACAAGACTCTCTTCCGGTGGTACACCACCCCGGTGAAACAATACCACATGGGACTAAGCACCACGGATACTTGCTGGCGGCTATGTGGGGAAAAAGGCTCATATATCCATATGTGGTGGCAGTGTCCTAAGGTACAGGCATACTGGACGGAAGTGACGGACATGAACTCCCGGATACTGCAAAAAAAAAAAAAAAAAGCTAACTGTAGCACCCTGGTCGTGCCTCCTCTCCAAACCGACAGACGGCTTAGACAAATATGAACAGAGCCTCTTAAACAGGCTCAATCTTGCCGCAAGAAGGGCCCTAGCACAACAATGGATAAGATCCGACCCCCCACCCATCACGCTAGTGCGGGAAAAAATTTGAGATAATTGTCTTATGGACATGTTGACAGCTCAGGTCCGAGACACCACCACCACTTATTATAAAGTCTGGGAGCTATGGGAGCAGTTTGACGCATAGGGGACTCATGAAAACATGCCGACAAAAGACACGGAGACCCCGATTGCAACCCGCCAAATCACACACATATATAGGGACGAATCTCACTTGTAACCATGCTAACAAGTTATGTTATTTTTGTTTCTTTATGTATATATATAAGTTATACATGTTCGTGCAAACCAAAAATGACAATTACCTCATCAATGGGGGCCTCTACATCTCCCACAAGCTAAGGCCGCAAAGTCAATGCAGCAGAGAAAAGGGGGAATGGAAACGCAACTAAAGCCGTCTACGGAAAGCAAGCCTTTGACTAGAGTGTATTGTTTGCCATATTAGCTCTATGTTATCAAGTATGTTATACATACTGGCTTCTGCGCAAGCCAAAACTGTTGAAGTATCCACACTATACCTAACAAACGAAAAATAAAGAAAGGAAAAAAAAAAAAAAAAAAAATCACGCAAACTGAACAAAATCAGAGGTAACAGATAAATACCCCACCCCCACAAGCCCTGTCAGATGAGTCTTGACATTTTCATTAGTAGGGTCTAAGTTTGGAAGATCTGGAACTCAAGGACTCTGCTTGCATGTCTGTGCTATTGACACAAGGACAAAAAAAATGTAGAGAGAAAAATTCAGAGAAGCCCAAATTCAAGTCTTTCAATGACCTCAGATTAACTGAAGAAACTGCCTTAAAGTAGCACAATCACCCACATTCATTTTTTTTCATAAGTCAGTTAATGTTCCAAGGAGATTCTATTTTTTCTAACTAGACTATATGTTTAACTAGTAGATATTATGATCTGTCAGTGATGGGTGAGGCCATCTTGGAATTGCATCACAAATTTCGAACATGTTGAAAATGTTTGAACAAGGCTGCAGACAGCATGCGTGGTCCTTATCCAATCAGGATCTGTGATTTGCAAGGTACTTGGAGCTTTCCACTCTAAAAAGGACAAAAACTCTCTGGCGATACTTTATGCCCACTGTGCACAAGGGGCTAAGAAACTAAATAGGAATTTAGGACCCCCTGTTCCTGAGGGCAAGACTTGCTCAATGATCCTCTACTTCCTTCTCTTCATCCAATATGCCACCCTCCATAAATTAATAAATACAATTACCACTAAGCAAAGTGAAAAATGATATCAAAATATTTCTAAAAAGGTAAAAAGAATGCACAAGTTGTCTGAGTAGCCACCACTGATTGACAGGCAGCAGCCTACTAACAAATATGGCCCTGTTAGCAATATAGCAGGAGATATAAGGGATTAACCACAGCAGAGATCCTCCCTTTAGGTGCACAGGGTCCTCTGTACCCATACAAACATTTTTACTTAACAGTCCAAGCGATTGGGAGTGGCGGGAAAGGGGGGGGGGACTGCCCACTTACTATATATCCTCATACTACCAACTATGTTGGTGGAATACAAGTTACCGTGTTGCATGGTTCCACCTGGTACTCTTATGCCTTGTTTCCACTGAGCGGATCGGTTCGGGTCGGTACAGTTTGTAAGGTTTAGAATGGTCCAGCCCATTCTGGTGAGCGTTTCCACTGCAAGTCAGACCTTCAGGGGCCATGTGGGGTTTAGAAAAAATGCTCTTCCTGTCCACCAAACATTGGATTGTGTAGTAGCTCCGCCCTATCGAACGGTACTATTTCCTATTGCCCTACATCTGAAGCAGGACCCTGAATGGTGCGGTATGGTTCGGTTGTATGGGCCACTTTCATAATGGAAACACTCAAAATAGCGAACTGTACTGAACCGAACCAATCCGCTCAGTGGAAACGAGGCATTAGTTTATCTTTCCTTAACTATTTGTCTGGTGGCTACAAAAACATAATTTGAGATAACAGTTTAAAAATTATTTAGGAATTAATTTTTGGTCTAGCCAATAGTCCTGATTTAAATGGATTCTGATATATAACACATGTGAATTAAGGACACTTGATAAATGTGAGGGGTTGCAAATCCTCCAAATTGCCCAGTACAAACTTGTTGTTTTTTTTTTTTTTTTTTTTTACAAATCTGCCTTGGCAGTTTCATAGTTTGATGAATAACTTTGTATGTATTTCTCCTAATTAGCCCTCGTGTCCCAACTCTCGAATTCATGGACCAGACTCTGCAAAATTACATTGATTGATTAAAAATATCTATTTATCTTTCACTCTGCTCTAGCATACTTCACTGAGCAGAGAAATTTGCACAAGAGCTAGAAATGCTTCTTCTTCCTTACAGGAGCTCAAATGTACAGGGAAGTGTTTTACCAGACTAAAGTGTGGCATTTTAGGAGGTAGAATAAAGTAGCATTCTAGCGGATACAATAAATGGTAGCACTCTAGCAGACAGAATCAAGGGTAACATTCTGGCAGAACGAATAAAGGGTAGCATTCTAGCGGGTACAATAAATGGTAGCACTCTAGCAGACAGAATCAAGGGTAACATTCTGGCAGAACGAATAAAGGGTAGCATTCTAGTGGATACAATAAATGGTAGCACTCTAGCAGACAGAATCAAGGGTAACATTCTGGCAGAACGAATAAAGGGTAGCATTCTAGCTGACAAAATCAAGAGTAGCATTCTAGCGGATACAATAAAGGGTAGCATTCTGGCAGTCTGGGACAAAGGAGGAGAGAATGAGGTTCCTATGCACACTGCAGGATTTAACCACACCATCCTAGTTACAGGCTGAAAAAAAAAGACATATCCATCACCGTTCAGCCATCACATCAGAGAACCAGTAATACCCCACTCCTTCTAGCATGTAAGCTCATTGAGCAGGGCCCTCAACCCCTCTGTTCCTGTGTGTCCAACTTGTCTGGTTACAACTACGTTTGATCGTCCACCCACTGTAAAGCACGCTGAATTTGTTGGCGCTATATAATAACATACTGCCCACACCTATAATATTACAAACATTGCGAGATTTATAATTTTACATTGTGTCTCAATGAGACAAGAGCAAACATGTATTTTTAAAACCCAAGTGTGTGATGCAGTCCTTCAGCTAATGGTGCGGTCACTCTCTGTGACTGCAAGAGTGGGTTTGTATAGCCCAGTATTAATCCCCTTGTAAAGCAATGATCACTGCAACATTGATAGGTCAAGGACAAACGCAGGAGGAGAAGTGCCCCTGTCAGTGTATATATTGGCTTCTTATACTGGGTCTGTCTTGTTCATGGTAATCGCATTCTATGAATAAACACTCCTGGAGCATTTCACAGTTTCCAAGGTATTCATAAGACCTATATTGGTGTCAGGCTTCTAGAGATTACCAGGAAATGCTATCACCTCCTCCACATGACAGGGAGCAGCCTTGGGTGACTCTAATGCAGGAGGTATATCACAACACAGCTGTGGCCAAGCACAATACCGAATTACAGTAAATGTTTTAACATGAAGGAATGTACACTAGAGTAAAATGAAGTGTGAAGTCCCCACTCCTGCAATAGTATAGATACACTTATCCTTATCACACCTGATTTCTTCCTATTACACTTAACATTTCAGGTTAAAGCCATTTTATCATAGGATTAACTAATTTGTCATTTGTGGACTGGCAAAGATGTGAAGATTTGGGCGGGCAGCACAGTGTGCAAAATTAGCACCTATCAATTTCATTTCAAAATAGGCTTTCAATATAGATTACACGGAAGAGGAGAATGTTAACTACTGTATTGGGGTCTGCGGCTGTACAAAATATAAAGTCAGAGGCTGGATAGAGTTTAAAGGAATTACAATGGATTACGATACAACGTAGTCAGTGGGTCAGATACATGGACCTTCGTAACACATAAAACCTAGGCCTCACAGCCTCTCAGATCTCTGTCTGTTCCCAGGCATCCCTTTAAGCTATGGGTAGCCAATCTTTTGGCTTCCCTGGGCCACATTGAGCAAAGAGGGATAGTCTTGGGTGCACATAAAATATATAGTTTTATTAATTTATATAATAAAATTTCAAAAGCCCTTTTCTTAATTTTGATATTTTATTTGTTTAGTAGATAACTCCCTTTTTTATCCTAATGCGGGATTGCCCTATTTAAGGATACCAAATTAGGGAGCCATCTATTTAACACATACACATGTTTACTATACATACACACACACATATAATCACAGACTTATACACACAGACAAGCACATAATCATAGACATACAAAAACACAATCACAGACCCAAACATGCACACAGAATCAATCACGAACATAATCACAGATACACACAAACAATCGCAGACTACTTTAAGCATATAATTTATACCTGTTGTGTCCCTTTAAATCTTGAATACATATGTGAAATACAGGTTTCCTCTTTGTTGAACCTCTGTGATACAATCATGCTGACTCTTTAAAGTGACTATGTTGAATGAATAAATTAATCTATAATTTAAGCAGACTTTATGACCAGAATATAGCATCATTTTAAAGTAATAATAAACATAAAAAGCTTGTTTATATATTTGGTAACCCCACATAGAGGCTCAAGGGGATGCTTTTGCAGTAGTTTAAAGAGGATTCTAGGTGAGTGGCAAACATATACTGAACTACATTCTAGGCAGGATGAGTATTTAATTTATTTTATTACCTATACATTTGCTAGCCTTCTTGCAGAGAACACTGTATAAGTGAAATTACTGGTAGAGTGAAATGGAATTCTGTAGTTATTCACGACAATCTCTTTAAATATGGAAGAGGAGTGTAATACACACACATTATGCACAAACACTTGCTCATCAATCTGTGTTAAACTGTGAATAGAGTGAGCCATTGTTTTTTACATCTTCAATAACATTTAAAATTACTGTACGTTTACTGCATGTAAGGCAGCACTAAATCTTAAACTGCAAAAAATTATGGAAATAGACTGTTTGGGTTTTATCCACAATACAAAATTCAAGGTTTCCATAGGAATAGCGTAGAAGGGTTCTCATTTTTTTTTCAACCTTTGCTTTATAAACACAACAGAAATAAGCTTGAGCCTGTGACATGCTCTACACCTGACTGTTCCATAGGACAGTGAGACATATGTCACGTCACACAGTAACATGCTACTGCTGGTGTGAGTGGGAGGGCTATCATACAGGCAGATAATGCACAAGATACGTAGAGTCTATAAATTATACACAGCCTCCTGTTCGTTCTTCTGCACGGCTGAACTGAACCGCCCTGACAGTCTAAGACAATCTCGAGTTTAAAGTGATTCAAGAGGCTAGAAAATTCCCAGACAAGATCTCCCTGATGAACCTTCACATTTCCAGCTTCCGAAATAGCCCTTAGCTCTATATCTAATGCCTCTCCCTGTGTTCTTCTGATTCCGAGATGACATCATCGCAAAGCTCTCTTTACCCTCATGTCATCTGTCACATTTCCTGGTAATGATGGCTGGTGCTGTTAGGAGAACTGGCATTTGAGAAATCTATGGCTCCTCTGGGTGTCATTTGTCTGACTTAATTCTAACGATAAGATTAGGTTAACGAACAGCTACATCCCTTACACCATAAATACATCACACCATTGATTACCAGACACTTATTCTTTGGGCTAAAAAGCCACAAATTAAACCTAACAAGCACAAAGTTAGAGATCTCTTCTCTACAATTTAGTACACAATACAATAGGGGGATCAGCAAGTTTTCAGAATGTATAAATGGGTCGGTCATAGCTACGTAAAGATAAATATATTTTTTTTAAGATAAAAAATGTTTTAGTTGTATGGAGTATATGGTCAAAAATATCTGGACATCCTTTCTTCATTCATTCATATCTCAGTCAAACTCACAGCTGAGTCCACCATGTAGTCTCCATAGACAAGTAATGGTTGACTGGTTGACAAATGGTCAATATTGTAGAGATCAATGACTTACCACCATTGGATGCTCCCTTTCCAACACATCAGTTCATCAAATTTCTGAGCTACCCCAGTTAATTATGTGTGCCCGGATTGTGAACTAAAATGCACAGTAGAAATAAAAGTGGAGAACCTGACTGGCTTGCACATATGTCCTTTAAAATAAAAGACATTACAGGATAGGCCCCAAAACTTACCATCATTCCACAACCTACGATGAAGGGATGCAGACCCCTACTTCAATGTTCCAACATCTAATGGAAAACCAGCTCCAATTCAATGCCTTAGATTTTGGAATGAACTGTTTTTTAAGCAGGTGGCCACACATGTATGTATATTATGGGCATAAAATACTCCTTCCAAGTTTCCTAGTTTTTGAAGATCCCACCTAAACTTTATCCAATTTATAGGTGTTACATATCTATATATTTGGACTGCCTTGCAATTCTGCATTGCTTCCAGTGGTGATTAATCTAGACATGAAGACTTTCAAGCTCCTTGAATAATCAAGTACGAACACATAACTGTTATTTCTTTATACTTTGTTTGAAGTAGTCATCTTTGCCTAGGGAAATCTAACCATCCATATCTTCATTCAGAGTTTTAATCATCCATATCTTCATACGGAGTTTTAACCATCCATATCTTCATACAGGGTTTTAACCATCCATATCTTTATGCAGAAATCTAACCAGCCATTGTGTCATGCAGAGATCTAGCCATCCATATCTTCAAGCAGGGATAAAACCAGCCATCTTCTCGTGCAGAGACTGAACCTGCCATTCCCTTAGAGATCATTAGACAAAATGAAGCAACAAAATTCTACCCATGTTATAGTACTTCAGAGGCACTTCACGCACAGACAACTCCCAGGCCAACATGGCTGCCTTGCATGTCAGGCTGGCATCCCCCCTTTTCAGCAGAGCTCTGTAGCGGATGGCATTGGGCTGTCCTCAGAATCATGTGTATTCGTATGTTTTGGTTAATTTTTGCCCTATGTATGTAAAGTGTATGCAGCATTCGTCTGATTGTTCGGTTAAATTACTCCAGTTACTATGCGAGTGAAACTACCGAACAATCAGACCACCCCAGGAATAAGTGTGCCTCCAATTACCGTTCGCAACAATGTTGCAAGCGGGTAATTGGCAATCAGTGCAGTGTGTGCTTTGTCTTCTGGGTGGCCGCAATTTGGGAGACGAACACGTGGCGGCGGCCATCTTAAACTCCCGAACAGCGGTGTTTTGCCGTTGAGTGTCTGGAGCCCAAATCGGACACTCGGTTAGGCAAACACCGCTGAGACCTCCACACTGCCGTCACTTTGTGTAGAAAGAACCCCATGAACAAGGGGGTTTATCCGAATCCTCCCCAGTCTCCATAACCCAAGCCGTTCGGGCATTTTGTTCCCTTTTTCTGTGACCGACCGCAGGGCCAAAATGTATGGAACCCATTTCGGCTGTTAACCCCAGCGCGGTCGGTCTTTTTACTACCTCCAGGAATTTCCCGAACCCCTGGTCCGTTCTGGGTGATTTTTGAATATGTTTCTCACCCAGATCAGGGCTACCAGGGGATGTAATATTTAAAGGGATACCCCTATGTTTAGGGGTACATCCAGAAAACCAGGGGAACTGTGTCCTGCATAATGGGATTATGAGTCATACTAAGGGGAGGGGATGTGTGGGTGGAAACTCATGTATGATTGGTGTATTGTATAATTACTGTAAATCCCTCCCTTGCATGGGAGAAAGCTTTAAAAGAAGGTTGAGTGATTCTAAGTTCAGTTCTGCTCATGATGCTGTGTGTCGTCCAGTCATTGGGATTGATATTGGGATATTATTGGATTGCCTTGCCTGCTGTAATTTTTGCCTTATGGATTTTTAATACTTGTTCTTGAGCCTCACTGGGATCTTGAGTGGAGATAACCTGTGGAATATCAGCTCTCCACTACAAGCTCAGCTCCCACTACATTGCCATTGTACTCAAAGCGTACACAAAATAGTTCTTAATCAGAAAGGTTTAGACCTTTGTAATTGATCTTTGAATGCTTTGCCTGTGTATGCAAATTGCCTTTAGTAGTTAACTGTATTACAATCTCTGAAGCCCAGAAGATTCATCCGACATAGGCCTTGAATTAATATTGTTGGATAAACATGATTTTTGGAAGAGTTACTAATTCTTAAATATGAAAATATTTGAACTTGTAATATTTTGATTTTTTAAATATTCATACACACATAATTTTTGAAATAATGTTAAAAAAATAAAATTAGACAATTTGAAAAGCTCACCCAACAGCATTAAATCGGTGGACATCATTTGAGTTAGATAGAATTAATTCTCATCTATTTTGTGCAAACATTTTTCACCCAGCTATTCATTATACAATGGAGTTATTTAACAAGTAATTGACGGTCAAAACCAATGTTGACAGACACCAGATGTGAAGAAGGTCCTGATCAAACTAGCTTGCAATCTTGAAGTGGCTGGATTGTCACGAATCAACAGAACATACACATGGCTCCAGACACAACGTGAATAATGATCAGCAGATTCAATAATCCAAGCAAGGAAAGCATAACATTTAGGAAATGTACAGCAGATTTGGGGTACTACTCCCAAGGCCAGGGGGTCCTTCATTACCTGCTTAGTTTGTTGTTGTTGTTTTCGGTGAGAGAACTGTGGCTCTTACGGGTACAGCAAGTGACTGAAGGCTGGTATTACACATTCATGATGGATATAAGAAGGTGACATTAGAATGACAAACTGAATAGGGGTTACTTTATCAATTGAAGGATTTTATGTGTACCTACCAGACGGAAGGGTTGCATTAGGAATTATTCGTAGAAAGAAGGACATATGAGGGGTGCTTTTTAAACAGGAGGTTTGCTTTAGAGGTACTTGCTTGGATAAAAGAAGGCATTAGGGTCTTGGTAGATTGGAGAGTGGCTTTAGAAGATAGAAGAATGATAAGATGATGTGAGTAGGGCTCCACTGTTGAAGCACGTGAATAGTAGCAGTCCCATAATACTAATAATAAATGGAATGGCCAGTTTGAAATGGTATGATGGAAAACAAGTTCTAAGCACTGAGAAATATTAACACAAATTATATTTAAAAAAAACGCCTACCAAGATAAGAGAGAATGCACATGCCCGGAGCACCCAATATTATAGTACGACATAAAGGCTTAGGAGATGTAAGGTACATATGGATTGTAAGGCGATTGTCCAAGCACACTTTCCATCAGAGACAGTATACGTAGTGCAGAAAGGTCTATCAAAATAGCTGGTAGGTTACACCCACCTACCTGTCCAGTTTAAACCTACAGGTTAGTATGAGCGTTTTAATGTGGCAGCCACCATTGGGTACAATCAAAATGCCAAACAAAGTCATCAGACTCCTATAAAGTAAGGGACATAACTGATGACATAGGTCCACATACACAGCACAGATGGCAGCGATGATCTATGAACAACGTCCAAACAAAGGCAACTAAAAGAGGAGCAAACTTCTTTCATGGGATATTCTGAATTCGGGACGACCAAAAGTTTTGCACAACAGCTGTGGATTTACTTTTTGTCCACAACAATAATCCATACATCTGTATAGTCTCCCACAATATCATCCAACTCTAGCAATTATAACACAGAGGTAGCACAGTGATGGTGTTCAGTGGAAGGCTACTTTAGGGGCAACTTCCCCCTGGGTTAACTCATATAAAGGGGATTTGTAAACTGCAGCCTCATAGCACTGTTGATTAAATGCAAAATAAGTAAGTGGGGCTGACGTTCACCAAAGTAATGGACACCGAAGGGATTGAGAGGAGTTGAGCAGGACCAGTTTCAAACCTTGCACTCTATGGGTTAATCTGTTTTGTTCTTAGAATAGTGGCCTGAAGTTTCAATAATCAGGGAGCCTCAGTACCAGGGGCTGACTAGGCTGTAAGACTATGATGCATATGTATGGACCCTCTGACAGTATATTCAAGTAGCCATGAGTTTGAGAGTGCTCAAAGAACTCATCAATGTACTGACCTTTCTTGGTGTCAGTGGCGGTGCAAAGAGCAGAGTCTTTGCCTCCTAGTCATGCATGGTTCTCTGGGAATTTTTACCGGTACAGGTATTTTTTATGGATCCATCTAAGACCATATACAGAATAAGCAAACTAAGGAGGAGCATTTACTCAGAAATCTGTGAGTAAATGCAAGCAAACACCAGTGACTGAAAAAGACATAGCCACCAAACACTATCAGACTTGCCCACTGATTAGTGCTCTCAGGCAGAGATTCACAGTGAGAATCCCCCACCTCAGTTATGAAAATAAGATGCAAACCCCTTAATGCCGTATATAGCTTTATGCTTCGATAATGTGACGTGTGTGTGCACAGGTATGTAAGTGGAAAGGTAAATATATCCGTGTGGTTTCATCTGCGAGTCTAAATGTGAGTGCACATGTCTTGTAATAAGTGTGAGAAATTGTATGTCTGTCTGTAGTGTAGTTACCTAGAAGTGTTTATGTGTAAGTTATTAGGGAAGACTTTATGAGCGAGGGCCCATTGAATTCTTAAAAATATTCTATACTTGGGCTCCCTAAGTACTGAAATAGTAAAGACAAAAGGGAATTGGGGGTACGGAACATGTAATTTGCAGGAATGGTGCTGCCGTAGTGACCAAAATTTATACATAAAACATTTTAAGCCCATGACTACTTCACAGTACCCCAATATTGGTGCGTCCTGTACTAATTCCAATGTGGAATATTTCTTTGCGGAGATAGGAGTTTTTAAGTAGCCGTATAGAATTTAGAAATGTGTTTTTATGTGTATGCCGTTCAATAATCTGTATTAACTACTGAAATAGGCCTGGCTCTTCTAGTTGCTAAAACAAGTCTAGTTCCCTCACCTTCGGAAATAGAGCCCATTGCCAAAAAAGGTAAATCTGCAGAGTGTGCTGCAGTGCCCACCAAGGTTAAATTATAAGGCAGGGCTCACAGCTACGCGCCAGATCAAAAAGGTGTTTTTTTACCCCCACAAGGTATGTCCACATTGATCAAACTACTCATTATTAAGGGTTATTTAGGGGCAATAATATATTTCACATTGTGTTTTGAAGCATTAATCTAAATTGCTGAATGATTCATACAACCGTCTCACACACATTATTAGCCATACACTCAAACTACACACACACACACACACTTTCTGGCTCTATGATAGTAGTGTAATACAGAGCATCATATATGTGATAAATATGTATTATACTGCCAAGCAGACAGGAAAAAACACTGCTTCTGTACCTAAAAAAATATATTTGTCACTAGGATAACAAGTAAACTTAGATTAATTAAAGTGGGAAGAAAAAAACAAAACAAAAAAAACACTTCACAATTTCTACACAGTGTGGTTCCATTTGTACACACTTACAGCAAGTGAAAGAATGGGCCTTGTTACTGCACATGGGGTATCCTGGATGTTTGTTGGATTGGGTATAAACATGTTTCTGGCCTCCATGTTTGTTTTCTTTACTGCTATGCTAGTAAATAACTTTTACTTCTTTGGAATTTATACCACTGAATAAAATGTTTAAAATCAATAATCATGAGATGTTCCGTTCGCAAATTACATCTCAACATCATAATCCTGTTCAGACAGGGCAGACATTGCAAATGAGGAGAAACAAAGATTGTCTCATTTTCCTCTTTTCTGTATGCTTTCTCTACACTGACTGCCAGGTTAGTAGTACAGAGTTTATAACAATGACTGACAGGGGGCTACGATAGAGGAGATTGTTGCAAAACATCCTGGGAAGTGGCATTTCCTCTTTAAAGTTTAAAAATAATGTACCAATAGTGATAATGCTTCCATCTATGCTAGCACAATCTAAAGATGACATTGTCTGTAAAGTGACACCATACTCTTGCCAATCTGTGTCCTGTCCCTAATTCCACTATTGATAGAGCCTCATTATTATGCGTTTATAACTAATCTCAGGAGTAAAATAATCCTGATTTGGAAATAAAGAATTTTGCAAGTTTTCTTCTTCTTCATTCTTTGAACCATTAGAATAATATAATTTGGGGTAAGAGGGGAGGCTGAATCTCACTAAAATCGGCAGAAATCATGGACTTACTGCTGACAACTGAGAGGAAAAGTCAGCTAAAGTGCACAGGAGACTGTTGGCGCAACCGTGGACTTAGAGATTGAGAGTGTTGGGGCCTCTGCGGTACGAAACTTCGGAGACGTGGGGCAGGCGGCCGCTGCTCTGCTTGCAAGCCTGGCTGGCATACTACAGCCCTGTGGCACGCCTCGCAGGCCCTGGTCCTGGGGGGGGTATAAGCCTGCAAAGAAGACTTTATGTATGCTTCAGGCCCTCCTTTGTCATCCATACCTAACTGCAAGAATGCAGTCGTGAAGTTTAACCTACAAACGTTGCTGTACAGTATGGGAGGGAGGAAGCCACAATTTAAAGGTCCACTGGTTAACCTGGCCCCCACTGGAGGGAGGCGAAGCTCAGCAACATACCTCCCGCGGGATGCGGATGGAGCCTGGGCACATGTACCATGCCAACAAAATGGCGATTTCAGGGCCCATATGGAGCGCAACTTCACCCACTACTCGCAGGCAGCAAAGCTGTCAGAGGCACCTCAGCTCCATTCATGGGACTCACTATGGAACTCGGAGGAGTAATCCTGGATTGCCTAGCCTTCGAACCCACGACAACCTTCCTGGGCCTTGAGGCCCTAGAGGACGTTCATCAAACCGTAGCCCAATGCTGGATGGAACACACTTGGCAGGAATCCCATTACTGGCCAGACATAGTATCGGAACCGAGGGCACAAGTGGTCAGCTCATGCAGAGCCCGGGGTTGGCGGAGTGGCACCTACCGGACCCATCCTCACATCAGGACTCAGCTCACGCTAAGACCAGGTCGGAGGCAGGAAAACCGCAAGCTTGGGGGGACCCAGCGAGTCTGACAGCATGCTGTCTCCAACAGCTCAGTGGAGCTAAGCACAGGGGGCAGCATGACCTTCTCAAAGTGAATCCAGTGGTGTTTATTACCCTGTTTTTCCCTTAAAAAGTCTGTCTTTAGGTTGGACTTTAAAGCATTGCCTTAACCATGATTTGCTTCTTTTTTTACCTAAGCTATGTCTCTTGAAACCAACATATTAGAATACGTACCCTGTTTTAAAGTAATGAGTATTTACTCATTCACTGGCATATCCTGCATAAGCATGTTTTATTAATTTGAAAATAGGACAGTACCTCTCTAGACATGATCCCATCTGCGTTAAACTACTGCTATACGTCTAAGCTTGTTCATATATAAAGTACAAAAAATGTGCAATTATTCATGCTACTGTCCTACCTGAATATACCAGTGTACGCTGTTGTGGCGTTTGATGTTGATATGCAACTATCTGCACAACATTTTTTAATAATATAATTTATCATGTGTTTTAATACATATTACAGTACATTTTACTATCCCTTAACTTTCTGAGATATATTTAAAGGGACACTGTAGTCACTATAAGCATTTCATCTCTTTGAATTGGTTATAGTGCCTGGAGTGCCCTGGCGTTGTCCCTCCATTCAGTGTTGAACAATGTTCGTGCAGTATGCCACAAAATAAGAGTCCCTGGCCACCCACAGTCCGGCCCCTTCAGTATGTGTAGCTAAGGCATAGGTTGCACACTTCCTTGTTGTCATACCCATTCATACCATCAGTTGGAACTCTGACAGGCTAAAAGCAGTCAGCTGACACTCTCAGCCAATCACAGCTGCCCATTGCTGCTCAGGCTAATACTTCCTTATTAGCCAAAGCAGCACAGAGGGAATGGATTGCCGGGGACTCTTGTTTAGCATTAACACATTAAAACTTTAAAAACGGTTTAATGCTGATAGAAATGATGGGACCAGAGGACTCCAGACACTATAACCAGTTTAATGAGATGAAGCAGATACAGTGCCTACGGTGTCCCTTTAATAAAAACAACCCTCTTTCTCCTTTTATTGTGTCTGTTAAGGTCCAGTCTTTGTGCTGTTATGTGGAACACGTGATGGACTAAAGTTACCGTTCGAGTGTCCACAAGCCTACTTTTATGTTTATAGACAGTATGTCACGAACAACGGAGGGGAAGGCAGCCTGTGTCAAGGGATCCAGAGCAGCTAAGCAGACAGTAAAGGTTAATCCAGGATGTTGGGCTAACCCATGCACATAGATTGCTGGCCACTGGCCACACTGGATGTATGGGAGTGGTGGCAGTTCTGGCTGGCGGCTTTCTCCAGGCTGAACTTGCAATGTGTATCCTAATTTGCAGTTGCACTATGTGCAAAATTGCTAAACAAGTGGAAAATCCAGCGAGATCAATAGCTGTTCAGAATATTTTCTGGTTAAACCTGCGTCAAGTACTGCAGTGTCCACTCTACCAGTGTTGCATTGTACCAGTCACCTGTGTGTTTATTTCATTCCTAGACTTATTGTCTCCAGATCTCTCTAGGGGTCAGCTTGTTTTCCTCCCCCCAGCTTGACAGAAAATTCCCTCCCCCATTGGATACTGAATGCAACCATGAATGTTATTTGCCTTGTCTTCATGATCGGCTCTGCATATGGAACCCAAACCCAGATTTGGCCTTAGAGCACTCTGGAAGGGATTGGTTGCTTTTTATATTCCAGTTTGATTTGTTCTCTCACCCTGAATCCTTTAACTGATTTCCTCCCCATGCTGAATACATTTATGTACAATGTGTTTTCCCCTCACTAAATTATTCTGCTGTGGGCCACTAGATCTCCAGCAGTATTGCGACTTTCGATGAGTTGGCCTGCCCTGGTTGAAGCCCAGTAAGTTGTAAGCGAGATCCATGTACACAGAGTATCCCTATATCTTACAGATATACTGTGACCCAGCACACAGCATGCATATAGAGTATCCCTATACCTTACAGATATACTGTGACCCAGCACACAGCATGTATACTGAGTATCCCTATACCTTACAGATATACTGTGATCCTGCACACAGCATGCATACAGAGTATCCCTATACCTTACAGACATAATGTGACCCCAGCACACAGAATGTATACAGAGTATCCCTATACCTTACAGATATACTGTAACCCCAGCACACAGCATGCATATAGAGTATCCCTATACCTTACAGATATACTGTGACCCAGCACACAGCATGTATACTGAGTATCCCTATACCTTACAGATATACTGTAACCCCAGCACACAGCATGCATATAGAGTATCCCTATACCTTACAGACATAATGTGACCCCAGCACACAGCATGTATACAGAGTATTCCTATACCTTACAGATATACTGTGACCCAGCACACAGCATGCATATAGAGTATCCCTATACCTTACAGATATACTGTGATCCTGCACACAGCATGTATACTGAGTATCCCTATACCTTACAGATATACTGTGATCCTGCACACAGCATGTATACTGAGTATCCCTATACCTTACAGATATACTGTGACCCAGCACACAGCATGTACACAGAGTATCCCTATACCTTACAGATATACTGTGACCCAGCACACAGCATGTATACAGAGTATCCCTATACCTTACAGATATACTGTGATCCTGCACACAGCATGCATACAGAGTATCCCTATACCTTACAGACATAATGTGACCCCAGCACACAGAATGTATACAGAGTATCCCTATACCTTACAGATATACTGTAACCCAGCACACAGCATGCATATAGAGTATCCCTATACCTTACAGATATACTGTGACCCAGCACACAGCATGTATACTGAGTATCCCTATACCTTACAGATATACTGTGATCCTGCACACAGCATGCATACAGAGTATCCCTATACCTTACAGATATACTGTGATCCAGCACACAGCATGCATATAGAGTATCCCTATACCTTACAGATATACTGTGACCCAGCACACAGCATGTATACCGAGTATCCCTATACCTTACAGATATACTGTGATCCTGCACACAGCATGCATACAGAGTATCCCTATACCTTACAGATATACTGTGATCCAGCACACAGCATGCATATAGAGTATCCCTATACCTTACAGATATACTGTGACCCAGCACACAGCGTGTATACCGAGTATCCCTATACCTTACAGATATACTGTGATCCAGCACACAGCATGCATATAGAGTATCCCTATACCTTACAGACATAATGTGACCCCAGCACACAGCATGTATACAGAGTATCCCTATACCTTACAGATATACTGTGACCCAGCACACAGCATGTACACAGAGTATCCCTATACCTTACAGATATACTGTGAGCCAGCACACAGCATGCATATAGAGTATCCCTATACCTTACAGACATAATGTGACCCCAGCACACAGCATGTATACAGAGTATCCCTATACCTTAGAGATATACTGTGACCCAGCACACAGCATGTATACAGAGTATCCCTATACCTTACAGATATACTGTGATCCTGCACACAGCATGCATACAGAGTATCCCTATACCTTACAGACATAATGTGACCCCAGCACACAGCATGTATAAAGAGTATCCCTATACCTTACAGATATACTGTGACCCAGCACATATATATATATATATATATATATATATATATAGAGTATCCCTATACCGTACAGATATACTGTGACCCCAGCACATAGCATGTACACAGAGTATCCCTATACCTTACAGACATAATGTGACCCCAGCACACAGCATGTATACAGAGTATCCCTATACCTTACAGATATACTGTAACCCCAGCACACAGCATGCATATAGAGTATCCCTATACCTTACAGACATAATGTGACCCCAGCACACTAGTATATATATATATATATATATATACAGAGTATCCCTATACCTTACAGATATACTGTAACCCCAGCACACAGCATGCATATAGAGTATCCCTATACCTTACAGACATAATGTGACCCCAGCACACAGCATGTATAAAGAGTATCCCTATACCTTACAGATATACTGTGACCCAGCACATATATATATATATATATATATATATATATATAGAGTATCCCTATACCGTACAGATATACTGTGACCCCAGCACATAGCATGTACACAGAGTATCCCTATACCTTACAGACATAATGTGACCCCAGCACACAGCATGTATACAGAGTATCCCTATACCTTACAGATATACTGTAACCCCAGCACACAGCATGCATATAGAGTATCCCTATACCTTACAGACATAATGTGACCCCAGCACACTAGTATATATATATATATATATATACAGAGTATCCCTATACCTTACAGATATACTGTAACCCCAGCACACAGCATGCATATAGAGTATCCCTATACCTTACAGATATAATGTGACCCCAGCACACTAGTATATATATATATACAGAGTATCCCTATACCTTACAGATATACTGTGACCCAGCACACAGCATGTATTCAGAGTTTCCCTATACCTTACAGATATACGGTGACCCCAGCACACAGCGTGTATACAGAGTGTCCCTATACCTTACAGATATACGGTGACCCCAGCACACTGCATGTATATAGAGTATCCCTATACCTTACAGATATACTGTGATCCTGCACACAGAGTATCCCTATACCTACAGATATACTGTGACCCCAGCACACTGCATGTATATAGAGTATCCCTATACCTTACAGATATACTGTGATCCTGCACACAGAGTATCCCTATACCTTACAGATATAATGTGACCCCATTACACAGCATGTATACAGAGTATCCCTATACCTTACAGATATAACCAAAGTATCCCTATACCTTTCAGATATACTGTGAGCCTGCACACAGCATGTATACTGGATGTTTCTAAACATTCCAGATAAAATGTAACCCCAGCACATAATGTGTATGTTCGATATCCCTGCATTTAAAAAAATATAATAAAACCCCAGCAAATAGTATGTATAAAGGATATATCTACACCTACTACATATAAAGTAACACATTTGTATACAGAATATCCCTTGATGTTACAGATAAAACGTGACCCCCACCAAACAGCGTGCATATAGCATATCAGTACACTGTACAGATAAAATGTGGCCCAAGCACAAAGTTTATATACAGAGTATTCCTATACCTTACAGATATAGAGTGACCCCAGCACACAGTGTGTAAACATAATATCCTTATATGCTACAGATATAATGTAACCCTAGCAAACCGCAGATATATAGAATATCCTTACACTTTACAGATATAATGTGAACCTAGCACACAGTGTGTATATAGAATGTCCCTGCACTTTACAGATATAATGTAAAGTAGCACAGGGTGTATATATAATGTCCTTACACTTTAAAGGTATAGTGTGAACCTAAGCACACACTGTGTATACAGTATAGCTGGCAAAGCATTAGGGGAGATGTAGTCCCAAGGTCTGGAGTGCCTAAGGTTCTCTACCCCGCCTTGGAGATTTAATGTGATCCCAGCATAAAGTGTGTATACAAAGTATCCCAATAACTTAGAATTATAATGTGACCCCAGCACACAGCGTGGCCGTGTATACAGAGAATCCTTACACTTAACAGATATATGACATCAGCACACAGTGCGGATATAAAATAGACCTACACCTAACAGATATAATGAAACCCCAGAACAGTGTGCATATAGAATGTACCTAAACCTTACAGATTTAATGTGACCCCACATGGTGTATATACAGGGTATCCCTGCACCTTACAGATAAAATGAAACCTCATCAAACGCCATCTATACAGGATTTTCCTATTCCTTCTAAATAAAATGTGACCCAAGTACATAGTGTATACAGAATATCACTTTACGTACAAATATAACGTGACCCAGGTATAGTGGGTCATGTATAGGCAGCCAGCATGTGACCCAGCACATAGTATGTAAACATTTTATACTTATACATATATATTTGACACTAGCACACAGTGCCTGATAGCAGTTCCCCATATGTTACAGCTATGTAAGCCGGCACAGTACAGGATATTCCTCCCAACACTGGGCAGATAGTACTGTAGAACACAGAATGCATGCTGTATATATTATATACACTGTGCAGAGAGCTCTTTTAAATTGCCCCTTGTATTTTTAATGTAAAGCATTGGTTGTGAAGTGCACAGGTAAGACAGGTCGTAGGGCTTGTATTATCATTTCGGGAGAGTGGGCCCTGGAAATGCTGATGAGGAAGGGAAGAGCAGGCCCAACCATGCCTACACAGTACTTACTTCTCAGTAGCCCAAGCAGACAGAGCTGCATGAAGAGAGGGGCCATCATCCTGCGCTCATAATCTCATGTCCTCCTAGTGTCCAGTCCTTGCTCAGTGCGCTGCAGGAGCTATCCGGAGTGCTGAATAGCTGGGACAGTGCGCTGCAGGAGCTATCCGGGGTGCTGAATAGCTGAGACAGGGCGCTGCTGGGGCTTCCCGGGCTAGTGCGCTGCAGTAACTATCCTGAGTGCTGAAACCGTGCTGCATGAGCTACCTGGAGTGCTGAATCCACAGGACAGTGCGTTGCATCCGCTAGTTGTTTTGCCGAGTCTCCTGCACTGTGCTCTGCAACCTTTTAGCCTTCGTGAATGCTCCCTCCTGTGCTCTGCAGCTAAGGATCCTGCACAGTGCTCTGCAGCTCAGTGGTGCCGCATCCCGTGTGCAGTGCGCTGTAGAGGCTCTTTGTGGTGCCGGGGGATTCCCTGAGCAGTGCTTTGCAGGAGCTCTGAGTGCTGCTGCCTTCCTTGTGCAATGCGCTGCAGAGGATCTCCCAGCTGCTGAACCCCCCTGTGCAGAGCCGAAGATACCCGTGTGCTGGGCAGACCTCCAGCAGGACTCTCCCTCTGTACGGTGACAGACAAGGACTCATACACAGCTGCAGAGCTAAGGCAGATCCTGGAGGCTAGTCCACAGCCTGCTCGGTGCTAACCTTCCAAGGGTGCCTCAAGTGAGTCATACTCGGCGCTGCTATATGACAGGATTCCCCTGCTAGGTGCTCCCCTTGGCTCCTGCTCCTCGGCCTCTCAGTGCGCAGGCGCAAGGGATGCTAGAGGAGGGTCTACTCGGGGACTGCATCAGAGGCATGGCGGCACCGTGAGATCTCTGCCAGCGTCCCCAGCGATGTGTTGGTAAATAGCAAGGTGAATACCGGGAGACCCTTACAACGAACAGCGTGAGTCCTTTGCACTTGTAGATGACCAAAGCGCAATCCAAACCACAAAGAAGATCAAGGCTGCTTTATAAATCAATCAACCTACTTAAATCATTCTATTTTAGCAGCCTAGCATGTGCCACATTCACAAACTCAGCCTACCTCCCCATGCCATTACTTTCTTTACAACGAGGAAATCACACAAGCTATATCTCCCTCCCCCCATCAGTATCCCACCCTAATATTCTATCTATATTCGCCCCAATCCTCATCGCTTCTCTTCCCCTACACGCTGCTAATGGGGAGTGTGTAGGTCTCTTATGTCATGAATTAAGGATACTGTAGGAAAAGCAGTACTAGCGCAAAGTTCTAACATGGAACGATTACCATGGAAACCAATGGAATGTTCATGTCGGTGGTTCCACTTTTAGAACGTTACCTGCTCTGTATCCTGAATCCCTTCTGCAATTTGTAAGTTTGCGAATATCCTCCACCTAGTATCACACAAGCTCTGTAATCTGCATATTTTATTTAATGTGCGATACCAGTATTTTCTACAGCTAGTTAAAATGAAGTTATTAAATATATTCCTGAATTTTGACAATACATGACTGTTTGTCAGATAGATCTAGATCATTTTCACAAATATTAAAGAACAAAGAGCAACATTCAAGAAATAGGAAAAAATAGAAATAATACAATATATAAAGTGAAATAAGCCCATGAAAATGGAGTTAAGAGTTTGACGAAATTTGGTCGGTTGGGATCATTTATCATTCTTTTAAATAAAACTGTAGGAATCATCTGTAAATAACCATTTAGGAAATGTGCTGATTTGACAAAGTTATAGGAAATTTTAAGCCAAACTAATGAAATGTTTAAAATTCTCAAATGTTCCTATTTTCTCACATCTTCATAAGATGTTAAAGGGTTACTCCTTACTCCAACCACCACAACTACTTCAGTGTTTGAATTAGTCTTGGTGGTAGTAGGAGTCAGTATGTGCGGTGTTCCTGCTTGAAACATTACACATACCGAGATACTTAATTGTGTGCTGGGGGCTAGTTGAACCTCCAGCATGTGACGTAGGCAGCCGGAAAAGAGTTCTGTGCATAACTGTCAATTCTATGCATAAATGACGCCTGTTAACTCCCTCACTCCCTGTGGGCGCACGCCCTCTCTTCTTTATCTCCTTGCGGGCCTGGAAAGTGCACATTTGCTCTGAGTCAGCGAATTGGTTCAAACACAGGCTTTTTTTGATGGGAAGCCTGTGATTGGGCCACGTGCGGCCCCAGTAAAGTCAGGAGAGGACGCAGAAATGACAGGTTTTACAGCAAATTGAGAGAATTGACAAATGAATTAAAGGGTTGTAACTTTTTTGAGAGGGGTTACAGATCATTTGTAGTAAAAGATATAGTAACTTGAATTCCTTTGTCAATTCTCCACAGTTTGTGGTTTAAAAAAAACAAAAACTCCCCTAGTCTAAACTTAAGTTTCCAAGCTCTGGATCACATACATTGAGGTCCACACAAATCAACAGATTCGATCTGAACTTAGGTTAGCATCAAACACCACTCATGTATTTGCTTTACTAGGTCTTTATTTAGCATTTATAACAGATTTTCCCAGCATGCACCTGATTCCTGTTCCTAATTAGTAGCTTATTCCCTACCCTTTGAAGTCTGTAAGCTGTTTTGTAGATGCGGAAATCAGTAAACAGATGGTGCTTCAAATGACTGATTCAAACTCTTCAAAGGCATTTCATGGCATGTAAAAAGAAAATATGTTAAGTATAAACCTAAAACGAGCGCAACCACTAAAAGGACACTGCACTTTCCAAATAAAAATAAAAACTGTTTAGTAGATAAGCCTCAAATGAAAAACATGTTATTTTATTATACATTTCTTTCATTTGGGACATATATAAAACAACTTACAAAAGTGGCAGATCTTTTGTCTGCAGCCTTTGCAAGCCCTCCCCTTCTAACTCCACCCAGACTTTCTGTGGCTGTCCAATCACAGACTTCCAAATGCAGCTCAATGAGAAGTCTTTTCAAGGCAGGTACTCTGGGTAATTGCTACCTTTTGAGTTCGCACTACTGAGCTAAACAAACCAGGATGTGACAGCCAGGGGCTGAAACAAGATTAATGTATAAAAGTGCCAGTTTGTATTGAAATCTGCACATTATAAAACATTTTAAAAATGACACGTTCTTCACACATAAAGCACTTCGGCAAGCAAAAGTGTTTTAGGTTCATTTTTAATTTATGTGAACACAACAAAAACAAATTTTGTGAATAATCTAACTTTTAATATAGCCTTTGCTATTCCTCAATGGTGAATGAGACTGGACTAATGCATAGACTGGCCTTTCAGATACGGTGCTATAAACTGGGAGGTCAATAGGAGTTAGAACCCATTACTGTATTGCCAAAAGCCAGGCTAGGAGTCTGGACTTCAGTATAAATTACTTTTTTTCAAAATTGTCAGAAACTTCATATTCCTCTTAAGATAGAGCATGTTCAATAGACCCAACTCATCTTGGTTTATTCACCCAACATGGAATTCAGGATAATCAATAATAGCAAATTTTATAACCAAATCAGTTTGATGGAAGAAAACCTGCAAATTCTAGCCAAAAATATTCAGACTTATTTTTCAATTGGCTAGCTTCGGCCTCACTTTGGAGTTCCTAGTTTAATGAATTAGCCTACCAGTTGGATTTACCTCCCTAAAAAGTGTAATAAGGGGGAAACGATTGACAGCAAACTGTTTACAAATGAAGTAAAGTGACCCAACGTGGAAGGAGACCAGCTACACTACCTTTAGGCAATAATGGAGTCCTCTGAGAGTGCATAGCCAAATACAGGTAATAACCAGTTAGACTGCTGGCCAACTCCATCCCCAACCCAAAGTGTCCTGATACAGTTTCTGCCAGAGCCTCCCATGGGTTTCAACAGAGTGAATTGAAAATTTTGTTCTGAATTTAAAAAGCAAGTGTACTACAGTCTCTATTCTTGACATTTACATCATCTTAATCTAAAACGGTTTAAATACCAAATCTTTCAGTTTCCCATGTACCAAACCTAGCAGCAAAGAACTCAAATCAAATTACACATTTTGCTCTTATTTCATTACAACTAATTTGCCATGTTTTTCCCATGCAATTTGGGAACTAATATAAAATAATTGAACACATTTATCAATTCAATTATATTATTAACAGGCAAGCAGCTGCTTTTCACTAGATTTAGATTTGTAATAAACCAGATATCTGCTGTAGGAGGATTGCTGATGTATCAACTAGCAGTGGCTCCTGCCCAATGAGATGCTCCTCTTATTTGACAAATAATAGGGTACGCTTCATGTATCACGGAGGTCGATGACACAGATCAATAAGAGGACGTAATTGTTCGCTCACTGGAATGTCCTGGTAACAAGGCCGCAGAGGTTTAACTCACATTAATCATTCTGGCTGTATTGGTAATCACTTTATTTAAATTAAAATTACCCCACCCTCCAATTTTTCCCCACAGTTTAGAAATTGGGGGAGGGCAGGGGGACACAGAATGGAGATAGGGTGTCTATTGTGCAAAGCAAATCCAAATTGGCTTCCTAGTCCATTATCTACACTGCAGCCCAGAAATGTAATGGAATTAAAAGATCTGAGCAGTAGAGCCGAGATATAATGAGAAGATAAATAGAATCCTCAGTACCATCATTTCTGTAAATCATTTTAAAGCGTTATCGTAATTGGCATGAATTGCTCTCGCTGTATCAGCTCCCACAAAGAAGAGATTGCTGTGCTTTCAAGTTGTATGCAATTTAATCTCCTTTTCTGTCTATTAGTTGAGCCCGTGAGTGATGAAATTTGCCTGGAAGATACTTTGATTTCTACAACACAAGGAAATGCCAAAACTTTATTCTGCATTGCAAATACACTATAATGTGACAGCCATGCAACTTGCTAGCCAGATGCAGCTTAACATAAGCACCCTGATAGCCAGTTTCACAAATTAGTAACTTCTAACCAACTACTAGAATGCAATCTAAGGTGGTAAATCTCAAAATATATGCAGCCGGACCTAATCTTGTTTTAAATGGTAATATAACGTAGTCAATTTTGGCCAATTTATTAAGTCAAACCAGTGCGGCACATGTGCGTTCATTTTAAAAGCAAACGATACGTGTAACATCTCCCTTCTATAGTAGCAATATCAGTCATGTATAATGAGTTTGTCTGACAAATGCTAACAAAAGATAGACCGACAACACTTGTGCATGGTTTAATAAAAGGAACTGTTCATCCCAGCTGTCAGCACATCTCTATAGTTAATGGACAATCTCGATTCTGTCATTTATGCCATATTTTCTATCACACTGTGGGTAACCACAGTGTGTTTTTCATCTAAGTAAATTGTAATGCAGTTAAGTTCATTTTGAGTAATTCCAGCAAGCATAATTATGAAATTATAGCTCCAGTACATGCTAGAATTAACCAAGAAAACCAGTGGTGTTGTTTTAATGCAATGGGGAAAACACTCTCCAAAAAAACAACCACGTTTTACCTTAACCAATATTGGAAGTAAAAAGTGGCAAGTAGGAAAATGATTGAATCTCCACTGCTATATTAAATCACTTGTCAATGTGGAATTGTTGCTCTCCGTAGAGAACATGAGGCACGTGCTGCTCAAAGACAAACGCGATGTTAAGAAGCCAGAATAGGAAATAAAGGACAGGCCAGTGAAACAAATCATATGGCTGCTAATGGAAGATGAGAAACTCATTTGCATCAGAAATTAACAGAGAGCGAGGGCATTCCAGATGTTCTGCACTGAATCTCCCATAATGCTCTTACAGAAAATAAATTGGGGTAGATGTAGTCTACAACAGTTATCAGACCCTGGTATATAAAATGTGTGAGTTTTGAACTTGTATCTCCTAAAGAAAACTGTGCAATTGCAGAAGGCAATTAAATGCAGTACTATGTTAATAATATATGTATACAAGTATTGATAGGCGCTGAGCTAAACAGCAATGGATAAGATAGGGCAGCAAGAAGGGAGACTCCCTTATCCCTTTAAAAGTACAGACAAAGGAAACAATAAGAAGAACACAGTGTGAAATGCTAATAGGGCTTATTCACTAAACACCAAACGGCAATGGACTTTAAATAAAAAAAATTAAAAAAAAGCAAAACCTAAGCTAAAATAGCCTCCCCCCCAAAAAATTACCCTCTGTCCCCAATAGTTAGGGAACAAATAGTAATATAACAGCAATATAGTCTACTCAGATAATTTAGAGTGCCAATAGGGCATTAGTCCATGCACATGTTCCGACATTGGTGCCCTCTAGTGGTCCAATCAATTGCTTCTGATCATTTTTTTTTGCAGTGTTCTATCGGCATGTGAATTGATACAGAATTGATATTAGGCAGCCCAAAAATTGGTTATGAGCTGTCTAAGTCCTTTTTGCCAGTGGTACATTTAGCACAACTGTGTATATTTCTCAAGGAGAAGCGCTGCACATACAGCCTCCCACCACCATGATGGTTGGAGTAATCCTTTAACCCCTTAAGGACACATGACATATGTGACATGTCATGATTCCCTTTTATTCCAGAAGTTTGGTCCTTATGGGGTTAAGCTAGCAGGGAGAAGCTCTGTCTTTGGTGAGAATGACTGCAAGCAGATATCTTTTTAGAGACTACCCTAAGTTAGCTGTATGCATGCTACCCATGAGTTCAATCCCCATGCACAAAATGGCGTGTAACTGCTTTGCTTGATTTGTATTTCTGTTCTTGACCTAAATCTGTATTAAGTGAAGTGCTCATAATAAGCATTCCAAATTAATTGTGTAAAAACTACATAAACAACCGTAATCTCTGTTCATGAATGCAATCCATACTCAATAGGGTATTTGCACACAGTACACTGGCTATAGAATCGGGTCTCTACCATATTATGGAACAAATGTCCTATATAGATCTGCATACAGCTAAATATACAAGAGCACTTGCAACATCTAATGTTGAAAGAAGTCCACGTCAGCAAACCCCACAATTATTTTAGAGCAACGCTAGTAGCAGCAGCAGCTATATGTGTTCCAGAGCAAACCCTGTATGAGCAATATCCAGATCTACCCCGGAGCAAAGTCTGTGCAAGCACTCAATACATCTATACCAGAGCTGAGTCTGTGTGAACAATCCTGACAACTCTAACAGTCTGTAGTTGAGAATGCTACATTTAGTACAGTGTTAAAGCTGTATGAATAATCTCAGTCTCTTCCAAAGCAGAGTTCATGGGAGTAATTAATTCGGACTTAAGCACAAATTCCAAACGTTGCATGCTGTGGTCACTCTGATGCAAGAAATGCTTTCTTTACACTTAATAAGATAATTATATATACAGGGTGGCCCAAAAGTAGGCATCCAGTTAAACCAATGCCATTCATCACAACAGATTATATGGGTGCACATACACACTGACACACAACAAAGAGGCTGTTATAGTTAATGCATTTGAAAATCAGTGTGACAGTTGGAAAGAATAGTGGAATGTTGCAACGTTGAAGGAAGACATATGCACATAAACTATTTTGTATACCTACTTTTGGGCCACCGTTTATACATAATGAATAATAAGATTAAAAAAAAAATCATAATGGACTAAAAAAACAACACATATGTACTTATCTACACTATGGGAGCAAAGAGTTGAAATAAATAACACACACCATGTCTCCTGGTAGTTACCATTCCCCAAACTACTAACATGCTTTAGGCATACCCCTGATTTATTTAAACAGAAACGGTCTTCTGTGGGAATTATGAACATTCCACTGAACTTCTACATTCTTTTTTTTTTTTTTACATGGAGTGGCAACATATAGATGGACCCGAGTAGGTGGGGATCTGCCTTGGGTACTATTAAAAATGTCTTTTCTACTTCCCTTAACCTAATCTGCACATAGGGTCACAGCTGCTCTCTTCTCACCTTCCCTTCTCAGCACAGTATCTATGAGGTGTAGGGAGTCCCCAGGGGCCTCGACTAAAGATTTGTGAGTGGCATATGCGCTGATCGTGTCAGACTGTCCTTAATCGTTTCCTGTACTCACAGAGCTGCTAATGCAGGTGTTACTGCAATGACTCAGGGGCTGAGATCAGTCACCTTATCAGAGTTTGGAGGTCAGACACTTCCTTGTCACCATAATCTGAGCTAGCGGCAACGGTGCTAAAAAAATAAATAAGAAAATTAAAAATAAGTGCAAGAAGTATACTTTTATTTAATTTTTTTGTCAATTGCACTAACTCTAGTCTGAGCTGGCTTGACCTTGCCACACATTAAAAGCTTAGCAGGGCTGGCACTGATTACTTCTGGTATGGGAGACCAGACAGTACTGAAATATATTGTCAATATTAGTTTTAGACACTCGATATTACTGTAATAGTTTATGAAAGCACCAATGGTTTCAAGTACAACAAGTATACTTTTAAGCATATGTGTCACTTGTGACTGTTTTAGTCTGAGTTGACTTTCCTTGGCAAATATCATAAAGCCAAGCAGTGCTGGCCCTGGCTAGTTGTGGTGTGGGAAACCAGTAAATTCTGATACATAATGTCAACATTAACTTTTGGAAGGTCAATATTATTGTAATAGTTTATGAAAACACCAATGGTATTTAGTACAATATGTATGCTTTTAATCTTAAGTGTCACTTGTCTGAGTTGGCTTGCACTTGTCAAATATCAAAAGTTAAGCAGGACAGGCCCCGAGTAATTCTTGTATGGGAGACCAAGCAGGGTTCACAGCTGCTAAGGTTGGGACATGAGAGAGACCTGGGCATGCAAAAGAGTGAGTTTCGTGATGGAAATGAAAGTGGATGACCTGGGCGTGGATAGAAAAGGAAATTCAGAGACATATGGGGATAGAAAGTAGTGGAGAAAGAGGGTGTCTTTATGAGGGGGTAGAGAGAGAGTAATGGGAAAATGTATGGGGGGGAAAGGAATGGTTGTGTGTGGACTTATGAGGGAGACAGTGTGGAGGGTATGGAAAAGAGGGGGGATATAGGGCACTTAGAATAGGTAGAAGTGAACATTAGTCAACACTAGTTTTAAGAAGCTCAATTTTATTGGAATAGTTTATGAAAACACCAATGGTTTCAGGTACAAGAAGTATACTTTTAATTTAACATGCCACTTATTACCGCTCTAGTGTAAGTTTGCTTGACCGTGGCAAATGTCATAAGCTAAGCAGCGATGGCCCTGTCTAGTTCTAGTATGAGAGAAGAAGCAAGATACACAGACGCTCATGTCTCGACATGAGAGAGAACTGGGGATGTGAAAGAAAGTGTTTGTGATGGGCATGAAAGTGGAAGACCCGACTATGTATGGGAAAAGTGGAGGAAATTTAGAGATTTTTATGATTTTCTAAATCTGGCATTTGTGTTTATTACATGCTCAGCCAACATGTATTTTAGTGTCACTGTTTATATGTGTGATGCTATCCTTACAAAATTGGCTGTAAAATCTTTGTATATCACTTAATTCTCTAATTTTTAAATGAGACATTTGTCTTCAACATATGCTGAGTGTGCCGTGTTGGCTGTTTATCTGCGTAAAGCTTCTTCTGCAAATTGGCAGTATAAACTCTGTATACCTCTCAAATACAGATTGACAAAATGAGACTGCAGATGCTTTTAGTATCCGTTGATGATTTATTTATTGTTAAAGGAAAACTATAGTACTGACATTTTTTTATTTTGGGACATTTATCAGTGTAATCACTGTCCCACCTTTGCTGTATAAAAGTTTCATTAACTATTTAACTTGCCTAATTTCCAGCACAGATTTATCCTCTGCAGCTTCCAGCAACATTAATGTCAGAATCTCTACTGATGTCATCCACAATCTTGTTTAATCCAATGCTTCTCACAGAGAAGCATTAGGGATGAGAATGCATGCATGGCAATATGCTATGAACAGGATTTTATTGCAGGACCAAGTTTTACTTTGCTATGAAGACAGAAGGGCCTCTAGTGGCGGTCAAGAAGAAAGCAACTAGAGGCCTGATTAACCTTTCAATGTAAACATTGCCGTTTTTACAAATAGGCAAAGTTTAGCATTAAAGGGTTAAAACTCCAGGATCACTGCACTAGATTACTCATTGAGATTGAGAATTTATGTCCTTTAAGCCTGAATAGTCACTCTAGATGTTAATGTGTGCTTTGGGCCTATTCTCCCATGTATTGACAAACTTACCTTAATAAGTGCAGTGAAATAACGAGGATCTAAAAACAAACAACACAACCACCCAAAAAAAAAAAAAAAAAGCACTGGAAAAAATAAAAATCTATAAGAAAATTACCAAATTACCCTGGTAACCTGGGAAGGGGTAGTGTGTGTGGTGCGAGTAAAATAATATTTCTATAACTCTTGCAAGGAGCACAGTGCCTATAACAAAGACAGGCTTTGACTGGTTTGGATTAATCCCAGCTTTTTTTTTTTTTATTTATTATATTTTTATTTTGCATTTTCATCATAAGCGTTACATGACGTATAGCGTTTTGATAATCAGTATGACATATAGTATGATATTCAGACTTCGTACAAAAGATTTACAAATGAGTAACAGTTTAGCCTTTTACAACTTTTTACTAATAATAAAACATTTTATGTTTGCAACTTTATTAACGTTTGTTGTCCTGTTAGTTTCTCTCCTATGACTCTGCGAGTGTGCTCGTGTATTCGTTATATCCTCACTCTATTGTGTATTAAGTCTAACACCCTAAGTGTAATTTTTGAGATAGGCTTTCCATGGTTCCCACATTGTTTTACACAACTGCGATTTCCCTAGTGTAGACATCCTTAGTTCCTCCATTCTGTATATATCGTCAATCCTCCTGTACCATTCTCTCCTTGACGGTCTTTTACTAGTTTTCCAGAGCCCTGCTATTACTAATTTAGCTGCGGTAAGTAAGTAAAGTATTAATGAATTTCGAAACGTGTGCATAGTTACAGGGATGATTTAGAAAAGAAGTGATTCGGGTGTAGCTGGGATAATTGTGCCACTAAGTTTGCCTGTAATCCGTGCTACCTCTCTCCAGAACCCCACTACTCTGCCACAAGACCACCATATGTGTTGGTATGTGCCTCGTTCTTGCAGACATCTCCAATATAGCTGTGAGTTATCGGTATCGTATTTGTTGGCGTCTACAGGTGTAATCCCAGCTTTTTATACTGCAGGGAAAGAACATACAAAAATAATTAATATGTAAGGGTTTAGTGCTTCTTAAAGGAAACACTGAGCACCATGACTGCCTAATCAAACTGAAGCGGAGACATTGGCTGGATTAAGAATGACAGGTCAGCCAGGCACCATCTACACACATTTGGGTTAAACTATCTGTAAATAATTTAAACCCTTATGATAAGGCAGTGCCCAGAACCTACAGGCACCACAACCACTTCATTAGCATAAAGTAGTCATGGTGCAATGTGTGTTCCTTTAGGTATAAGGAGAAATTAAAAGAAGACTGTAGGATGTTGCCAAAGCACAGGTTTAATACAGGTGTCTATGGGCAAACACAATCTAGGACCTGGTTGGCTGGTGTCCCTTTGTAATAATGGAAGTATTTTTATGATTAGTGTTAATTAACAAAAATCACAGTAATGTTATTGGGAGCTTGTTTATCTCAACGACAGCACTAAACAGAGATCCTGATGAGTCCCAAGTTTTGATTTTGAAGATATTGCTTTAAAAAACATTTTTCAAATAAAATATATGTGCTATTAAATCAGGAATTGTACTGTCAATTAGCTACATATAGTAGACTTGGTCAGGTTTCTATAATGATGGCTCTTAGAACACAAATTTTAAAACAAAAAAAATCGTTGGGTGGGGTGGGGGTGGGGCCAGGCCAGCAGCCAACCAGAGCAGATGTGTGTCAACAGAGCTTCGCCAAAATAAGCCTGAATTAAGCGATTTATTCACCCAAAACACATCAACTTCAGCCTCCATTAGGTCCAAACACCAAGGAACCTCGAAACCGACAGGGGCACGCGACATCGGGGATCTTCTCCTCCGTCCTACACAGTCCTCAAACTACACCGCGCCCCCAAAAAAAAAATACAAAAAAAATGTCCGAGGATCAAGCAATGGACGAGCTGGATGAGTTCCCGAGCTCAGGGGGCTTACACCTCCATTCCTCCGAGGATAGTGAGCTACCCTCCACGAAAGGAGATATCAAAGCCCTGCTCCGCAACTTCTGCATGCTGTTTGCCACAGATGTAGCCACACTGCGTGAAGAAATACAAGCAGTTGAGGGGCGCGTCAAGACAACAGAAGGGGACACGAAAAACCTAGCTGCCCGATGTGTGCATCTGGAAGCCCAAAACACAGAGATCCAGCACAGCCAGTCTCAAATCACCACCCGCCTAAACGACCGGCACAGGAGCAGAAACTTAAAAATCCGGGGTATCTCTGAGACTGTGGCCTTGGGCGACCTAACACTACATCGGGAGACTGCTTACCTCCCTGCTCACACCGCAACAAGCAAGCCTAGCAGAGATAGATGGAACTTACCGCATTCCGAGAGCCGCCAAAGCTCCAGCAGACACCCCACAGATATCATACTACAGCTACGAACACGGACAGCCCATCGGACCCTTATGACAGCCGTGAGAAGTAAAGCCAACCACCTATTTGAAAATGCCACCTTATCCTTCTATCAGGAGCTGTCCAGGCCCACAGTGCTATGGAGAAGCCGGCTCAAGCCACTGACAGCCACGCTCCGCCAACATTCCGTCCCATATCGATGGGCATTCCCCAGGAGCCTGATCACCCCCCATGGGGGCGCAACAACCCGCCTGACTGACACAGCGGAAATGGACTCAAACCCGGTAAGCACCACCCAAGCCCCGAGACAGCAGCCCCCTCACATTTGGGACATGGCCAAAGTACAATCATTTCTGCTATCCGTGGCCCCCACCTCGTCCGCCACCGCATTCAGAGCGCAGAGGGCCGGCTGCCACACAACAGACACCTGAGACCCGGAGGGGGACACGGGAAAATGAGCTAAAAAGGACTGCCCGACCATACTAACGCTTAATTCATGGTTTTCACTTGTGATCTTACACTTTAATACTAAATTTTAACTTAATTACTGTTGACGTTATTTACTTTGACTCTATATAATATGCTTATCTTACAATGTACTGTGGGATGCAACAAGTATTAACAGAAGGACGACAGGCTTCACTAGCCCAAGAATACACACCAAGTTTCTAGTGCACAGCCAAACGATAGGGCTTATAAGCAATGACAGACCGACGGACCGTCCTGCGCATCACCTAGCCCTTCTGCACCTAAACACACTATATTGATTATAATAGCCGCGCTCACAACAAGCCTATTAGAGCCTCTCACACGCTGACATATGCCCACAAGCTGCACAAGCTAGAGGGGGATCCCTCCACTCACCAACATGGAGAACACACAATATAACTATGTGAGCTGCACACACAGGAGGGCTTGCAAACAGAGCCGGGGTACCAGACCCAATATTAACAATGATGTCTTTCTGCAAACCTCTTATGTGAAACATCCACCTAACTGTACAGCGATTAGGACACCCACGACAAATCGCAAAGTTCCACCGATCTGTGACCCAGGATGGGTTTCATGAAATCTGAGACCTAAAGGTAAAAATGAAGGGAGGGGATACTTTACTCCAACACACGCTGCAAGAGCGAATCGCTTTATCTCACACACTGACATATGACCCATTAAATTACAGAACACGAAGGTAAAAAAATTAAAGTGTAGTGCACCATTACATCTTAAGACCTAACCTTAATCACATTAAAGCGTGTATACGCCCACCTCTATAAAAATGTTGACCTTTTCACTAGCATATACCATTGTCGTCTGAATCCAACTTACGTTAATATTATAGACAGTCAGAAAAGCCTGCATCTTATCCAATGTCTCTCCACTGTCAATTTATTCTTTTATTATAAATTTAAAAATGTGCCGCCTCCCTGCTATAAAAGGCCTCAAAATTCGCGATGAAACATACACCACCGCAGCTTACGCGGACGATTTACTTATCACCCTCACGGACCCGACGACCTCCCTACCGCCACTCCTACGAGCCCTAGAGGAATACACCAGGATCTCCGGGTACAAACTCAACATGGACAAAACAGAAGCCCTGCCCATACACATTGACCCCGCCGCTCTAGAGGTCCTCCAAAAGACGTACCCTTTCAAGATAAACACTAACCACATACAATACCTAGGTATCGCGCTACCCATAGATCTAACTCAAAGCTACAACCTGAATTATACCCCAACCATACAGAAAATCACACACGTCATCAACACATGGCAAAACATGCCGATATCCTGGCTGGGCAGACTAGCCTCGATCAAAATGAATATCCTGCCGAGGCTCTTATACCTATTCCAAACCCTCCCAATCCCTATCTCCAACCCGGACTTCAAACGCTTACAGACAACAATAGACAGGTTCATATGGTCCAACCGCCGCACACGAATAAAACGGCAAACCATGTATGTACCCAATAGGGCGGGCGGGCGGCCTCGGCCTCCCCCACCTGATTCACTACTACCAGGCAGCACAACTGACGTAAGCACAAAATTTGCACGCCCCATACGGAATCAAAAGGTGGGTGGATCTTGAGCACGACATATTCGGCAGAGATCACCCCTCCCTCTACATCTGGCTACCAAAACATGCCAGACCCCCCATGCCACGAACGTCCCCAGCAGTAACCAACACCATCAGAACATGGGACAGAATAGTACACAAAAGCAGCCTTACCACACCCCTGTCCCCGCTAACGCCAATACTTCGCAACACACAATTCGCCCCAGGCATGACACCCAAAGATTTCACGCGATACGAAGACAACAACCTCACGCGCTTCCACCACTTCTTCCAGGGACAACAACTGACGCCATTTCCCGACCTACAGCAAACGACACCTTTCCAAACATTTGATCTATTTAGGCATATTCAAATCAAAAGCTTCCTCTCATCCCCGGCAAACACACAGGCGGGAACCACGGCACTAACCACCTTTGAGAAACAATGCATGCAAACTCCAATACAGAAAGGCCAAATCTCCGCACTCTACGCCCATATAATCCAAAACATCAAACAGGGCGCCCTCACATACGTGTCGGCTGGAGAGACATCTGGGAAGCCACAGCAACCATATCCATATGTGTCAACCACAAGGAACAGGCCTACAAAACCCTAATGAGATGGTATCTCACCCCCCCTTAAAATGAAACAGATGGGCAGGTCGGAAACAGACCTATGCTGGAAGGGATGTGGTCAGAAAGGAACCTACCTCCACCTATGGTGGGAGTGCACCCCAATTAAACAGATCTGGCAACAAGTAGCGACCATGGTCTCTAGAATATTACACACAGACATCCCACTTAACCCCTGGATTTGGCTGCTTTCAAAACCACATGCGGACATACCTAGAGCACAAAACAAAATGACAGCAAAAATCGCCCTAGCAACTAGGAGGGCAATAGCCGAAACTTGGGGCAGCACTGAAACACCGACCATGGAAATAATTAATGAAAAATTGTAGACACAATCAAAATGGACGAACTGTCCGCAATAGTGCACGACACTAAAACAATATACCACAAAATATGGGACCCATGGTTCTATGAATTCCCGACCCCCACTAGCACACACCAAACGAGCCACTCGTAGAAAACAAACCCGCTACCGGCACCCCAGTCCATCTCACCCCCTCCGGGAAGAACACCCCACTGACTCAGAATGGTTCACTCATGCTTATGTTACTTAATTTTGTTTTAATTTGCTCTCATTTATTAAGAAGCATAACTGTAAAAAAACGAACACAGTTAAGAGGCATCATGTAGCTTAGTAAATGCAAATCAAAGTTGTTTACAGAACCATTAGGCAGATGAAATAATCAAATTAAACTGGATCAAAGCCGAGATGTCTCACAGGGTATGGATATATGGGTTTTTAAAAATATAAACATTTTCATACATCCATGTTAGAATGTTTAGAGAGTTCCCAAAGCTTATAGATTAAATCATTGACACAATCAGGGATTCATTTTTGAAGATTACTTACAATTATATTTTGAGCAAGCATGTCCTAAGAGGCTGATAAACTGAATTACACCTAAAAAAATAAATATAAAAAAGCATATAAATATGTAGAATACATTAGGTAAGTTAAAAGGAAAGGGTTGTTGCTTTGTTACAGCAGGGCAAGTGTAGATCTGAAAGGTATGGTAGTGGAAAGTGCATCTGGATTGCTGGAACTTGGATTCATCTGCCATAGGGAATCTGGAACATGTTTTTGATAAAGTACCAACATGAAACACATCAGGCTATTGGCACTCTTTCTCAGGTTGAGGCACTGATTCTGGGAGCTCAATCAAGAGTTGGTTGACGCCTACATGGAGAATTGGAGGGAATAAACATTGCAAAGCAGGAATGGACGTGAAGGAAAAAAAAAAGAAAGAAGATATTTAGACACAGTTAGGTAAATGTAAATCAACACTGGTACAATAAGGAGACATTGTGCACAGAGCCAAATCAGATAAATATATGGAGCATACAACAACTGAAAGTAAAATGGTGCATTCTCTGATCAGTGTGCAAGGAGTTTATCAGAAGGCATCATGATGCATGTAAGCACTATAAAAAGCACAAAAAGCAAAACTAAGCCTAAGATGTGTCTCCTGCAGCTAGTCACATATATCAAACAACAGGTGCCATTGCTCCAAACAAAAGGATCAGTGTGTCACTTTATATTTGCATCACATAAGTTGAGACCTTTTACCATACCCACATGTCCATATTAATCTAAGCATGCCGGGATGTGGACAACCAGGTCACCATGACAGGAATGCAACTTGGGCAATGGTGTAAACAAATGGCAACAAAATAATTTGTATGTGATCTTCTGGCTAACATTTCCGTAGAATGGACTAAATTGTGGTTTACGGTGCATGTGTATATGGAAATAGATTGAAAATCCAACTTTGTTCCACAATTCAGTTCTTGAAGCTAAAGACCACCTGTAAAATAAGTGAGATCAAGATGGGCAGCTAAATTTCAAGGTCAAAGTGAGACAGCACAGATCCAAAATGAAGATCAGAGCAAACTCAGTAATTTAAATACATAGGTGTGCAGTCGTCAGTGGTAGCACACACCAGAATGTCAGGACAATGTTTTCTGCATTGATCAGTCATATACATAATGTCAATATAAATATCCTTAAACTGTTAAGATATCACCACATGTGTGAAGTTGCAGTTGCAAGTAATTTCTAGGTGACCATACTGTGGTTCAATTCAAGATAAATGACAATAAAACCTTGCTAAAATAGGGTTTATTCACTGATGTGAGAATTGTGGAGGACCGATATAGCAAATACAATGTTTATGTCAAAATGCCCATATTGTAAACATAAGTTTGGATTTTTTTGTCACCACAGTTATGAGCTACTATGTTATGGCTCTCTCATAATTTCTTTGTGATTTACAGCTTAGAAAAAATAAACAAAAGTATATCTGCAAAGATGCAGGTTTTCCCTCTAATAATATAGTTAAAGTGACCAAAGTGTGCAACCTGTTTAAAGAACAAACACCCCTTTAAGCCATCAGAAGTAGCGTCATTCCATGCAAACGCCTGCAATGGATTATGGACTGCGTTGCAGCAATTTAAAAAAAGGTTTTCTTGACATGCATTCCCTTGGTGTATTAATTAGTAAGTATAATTTATCTGTACCTGGTCCGTTTCATTCAAAAGACTTAAATCAGAAGAAGATTTTTGAAGCCTGTGTTTTTGAGTGGATAGCAATTTTTTGCAAGCAGTGCAACACAGAAATGAAGGCAATAAAAATTATTTCTTTTTAATAAAAACATGCTTGATGCATTAGTACAAACTCAGACATTTAATTTAAATGTGAAATAAAAAGCAAAACAACAAACCACAAAACCACTAATATTTTGTT